TCATTTTTGTATTTTTACTCTCTAAAAATTCAAAGTTTACTAGGGTGTTTGCTGGAATCCAGCAGAAGTCTAAAGTCTACATTAATCAATTAAATTAATGTAGAATTATATTCATTTCTAAGAGATGAGGATAGATTTAAAAGAATTGCAGTACAGCATGAATATGGATGGCTTTACTCATCAATAAAAAGGGAAATATTTTGTCTATTTCATTTTTCCTTTTGAGACAGGGTCTCGTTATATATCCAGGTTGGCCTTGAATTCAAGAACCTCCTGACTCAGCCTTCTGTGTGCTGTGATTACAGGTGAGTACCACCACTCCGGGCCAAGAAATTATACTCTAACCTGTCCCTTTTTCATGATAGTCTGTATAGTAACCAAACAATGCTCTTTCTGCTACATAAAATACATCTAGAAGGGCAGCAGTTAGGATTTACCCTTCTGATGTTTACTTGGGTATTCATGCCTTAAATTCTGTACAACTTAAAGAAAGACATGGTCACCTAGCACTGGTGGCTCACGCCTGTAATCCTAGCTACTCAGGAGGCAGAGACCAGGAAGATCGAGGTTCAAAGCCAGCCCAGGGAAATAGTTCTTGAGACCCTATCTCAAAAACAACCAACACAAAAACAGGACTGGTAGAATGACTCAAGTAGTAGAGTGCATGCCTAGCAGGCATGATGTCCCAAGTCCAAACCCCAGAAGCACCAAAAAAAACCCCCAAAAAACCCAAAAAACAAAAATTAAAAACAATTGAAAGAATAATTTACTCTGCTGTTCCTTCCATGCCTCATTCATTTAGCCAGAGATATCCTGCTGGTCAATCTGCAACAACTCTTATTGGAGTCATCTACTGTTTCCTTGTTGTTTACACTTAGGATCACTAATACCCCACCCCTTCTATTACTGCTTTCCTCCTACCTGTACAACTAATTTATGTTTCCTTTGTGGAGTTTTCTTTTCCTAGTCCTCAAGTACTGTTTCTGCTGCTATTTTAAGTGTTCTTTTCTTTTCATACTATAAAGCTCCTAGGCAATTTGATGCTTTTACATTGCTTTTACATTACTACCTGTTATGTTAGTGACTCAAGACATTTACTAAATGTCTGTCATGTTATGCATATTCAGAGATTAATAAAAATAGACATGATTTCTAACTGGTGGACTGTATAACTCAGAGTCTTGCATGAGTACCACCATAGACACCTGGGACCATAATTTCCCACCAATACCTCAAATATGACATATCCCAAACTGAACCCCCCAGCCCTGCACTCATAACTTATTCTTATCTCTTCCTCTTTCCTACCTTAATTGGTGCTAGCAAGTCCCTGGCTTTCACTTTCTAAATCTAAAATTTCTGGTATTCTCCATTTTACATCCAGACAGCTAATTTAAAGCTCATTCAGATTACTTATAACCTACAATTGTGTAGGTTACAAGCTTCCCCATAACAAATTCTTCAGTTAAAATTGTACTTCAAAAAAAGGCAAATCTGATTATACAACCCTTCATTCTTTATCCTGCTTAAAATTCTTCAGGGGCTCCTTGCTGGCCTCAGTGTAGTTCCAAACTCTTTTGTATAACTTGCAAGAGTTAAAGATCTTCAGCATTTTACCTCTCCAACTTACAGTGCTATGACTGAATTGAACTTTCCAGTTCTTGGGAGTCCACTCATGTTTCTCTATCAGTTACAACCCTATCAGTTACAGCCTCTTTTATTCTCTCTTTGCCTGGTCTGCTGTCCTATCTGACAAAAGTTTTGAGTTAGCTCCTTTCCCATGTGTTCCAACTATATTCTGTGTTAATCCCCATTAGACTAGTCATAATTCTAACAGTCTAAATACTGTGAAAGCAGGGGCTATATTTTATCTTCTTCTGTTGTACCTCTGGGGCCTAGCATACAGTATAAACATTTTAATGAATTACAATTACAAGTTCAGTCACAGAAGAAAAACAAAAAGAAATTCACTTGAAGTTTTCTAATTTAATAGAAATAACCAAAACAATGTGGTTTTCAAACAAGGCTTCAAACTAATCTAATACAATTTCTACAACACATTCCAGAGCATAATAACAAGAATTATTTACAGGCAGCTAATGTATTAAATAACCATGAAAAGAAAAAACTTGCTTTTATTACACACCAGCAAAAAACACAGAAACAAAACAATTAGAAACTGTAACTTTGTTTAAAAAATTAAATATGATCATTTAGAGAATACAATACCACAGAAACAGCACTTTTTCTTTAAGAATCATATTGAAGGGCAGTTAACTATGTGCAAAAATAGTAGTAGTAGCAATAATAATAATGAAGGAGGAGACCAGTTGAAATACTGGAAGCAAGGAACTAGTAAGGCTGTGAATTTAACCCTTTTGTGTGTAGGTATGTCTACATAGAAAAATTTACAGGCTTTCCAATTGCACACATCTTTTTTTTTTTTTTTAATAGGCTTATATACATGTTTCACTGCTTTAAAACATAGTAAAATGCCTACATTTTTCAGACTAGGAGCAGACATGCATTTCATTCTTAAGAATGAAATTTAGGCCACAATTGAATGAGAATATTGCAGTGGCACATACAAAATCATTTTGGTGCCTTCCCACATATAAACTTGGTGAGTTTAAAAGAATACCATTTTCAATAATCACTTTGCTAGAAAAGGGCTAAACTTAACTTTATATATGTTCTGCAGTTTGATATGTTCCATATACCCAAATTAATGTATTTTTGAAGATAATTTTGTTTCTAGGATACAATAAAAATATATAAAGGATCACATCAGCAAACGTAAGAAACTAAGATGGAAGAAATGCATTTTGACCAAGTTAAACATGCATTTGGCCAAGAAAAGAAGCCACTATATCCAAGAGTATATGTTGATATCTGAAATGTCTATGTAAACTGTGGCATATAAATTTTTTCCCTAAAAAAGTACCTTCAGTTTTTTTTTTACTCAAACAGCTACTTTTAAAAAAATATGCAACTTTCCCCAATTTTTAAAATAAAATGCCACAATATATTGTCATTACCTCCAGCATACAATTTCTTCATTTTTTAAAAGATAGATTGGGTGATATGCATACAAACTTTCCTATAAAATCACCATCCAAGAGAGGATTATGACATGCTATTAGGCAACAGACTTAAAGCAGTGTTATTGCTTTATCAAGAAGGAACTAACTGGGAGAAAAAAAGTTAACATCCAGGTTGAGTAAAGGATCCAACTGAAAAAACCTTGAATCACCTTCAGCAGATAATTACTTACAGATGGCATACATTCAGAATCCATGACATGAAATAAGAATCTCATTGTTTTAATTAAAGGAGTTGGGATGGGCAAATTTTCACAAAACTACTCACCCATCCAATGTTGGGTCTGCAAATGAGCAGTACTAATTTTGATAAGACATGACATTTTTGTACCTTATGTGCTGTTTGTGGATGAGGATAGGTACAGCATGAGAAGACTAAGAGAGAGAGGACCATAACATCTACTCTCATTTTGGATAGTGAGAGAGTGTTTCTTAACATGTGGTAGGCCATAATCCAAGGGCACAGTTGGAAGACCTGAATCTACTGGCTAACACTAATCTAATCACTAATAATTACATGGCAGGATACCCACTGAGGTAACTGATAAATCTACTATTTGCACACTTTAAAGCATCATTTCTTTGGATTAACTAAAAAAAAATCTTAAAATCTGTTATAAGAAAAAGTGGAAATTGACTTTTAAAATTATCTAAAGAACCAACCTGTTGATTCCAAAAAGATTAATTTAAACACTGTATCTAATACTTTTATCATTCCTATGCAGTGATGGTATGAATGTTTATACAGAGAGCATGACCCGTAACCTAATCATACTTTGAAACTTTCACATATTGCAATTGTAAAGCAACTCCTTCACTCAGCCAATCAGCTGAGCCAAGTGCTAAAAAACAAATTTAGGACAGTAGAACATACTGAGGAACACTTAGTTCTTTAGTTTTCTGATGGAAAAAGTAAACTGAAGTATATCAAAAACCTTGAAAGGCTTTTAAGGAAACATTATAATGTGAACTTTTCTCCAAACTTAAAAATACTGGCTCTTAGTAAAGAATACAAATGTGAGAGATTAAAAAACAAACAAACAAACAAAAAGCTGCCTTCAGGAACTGACACTCATTGTTTGTCTTTTAAAACAAAAATTATTACAAAAAATAAGTATCAATTAAGTTTTTATACTTTTTAACCACAGGTATGTTAAAGCTGAACAAATCAGCTTAGAACACAGTGATCCATGTGCAAGAGAAGAGGTTCAATGAAATTTAGGATGAACATCATTTAATGTTGGCTTACTGACAACTACTCATTTAATAGTAATTCTTCAGCAGTAAGAATTATCTTTTGTTAATAGTCATGGAGCCTACTGAATGCTAACAATAAAGTAGCTTTTAAATGTTAAGAAAAAAGGGGAAGCAAAACTCCCATTTAACATGAAAACAGGCTCCAAATATTGAGAAATATTTTCTTAAAATTTGTTTCTTCCCCAGCATGGCCAAACCTATTTATGACTTAATACATAAGAATTTTGAAAAGGATTCATATAAGGAGATAATGCAAAATAAATGTTAGAATGCAACGGCTTGAGAAAAATAATACTGCTACTTCTCACTTTCTAAAAATGTGCCCTTAGATATGTCTACTTATAAATTAGAATCATGGATGTTATGAAAAAGAGGGAAATGGCATTTAAAACATTTAAGCATTTAAAAATGATTATTCTCTCATTTATAGAAAACTCTTAGGAATTTAAAACTGAGTAAAATGAAAAAAAATTTTTTTAAAAGCTTGATTTAAAACAAAATAGACAAGCTAAAAGGAAGCCAGGGGACAAAGTAAATAAGCAATTATAAAATCGATATTGTTTAAATACACCATCAGAAGGTCTGAATCATATCCCTGTTTACCCCCATACCTTGTTATGAAAAGAAAAACCCAAAGAAATCTGTATAGTAATCTCTTTAGAGTACTTTATTTGATTCAATATGCACTAAAAATATTTACCTTTTAAACAATTATGTCAAATACTTATCTGAGTAGTCTATGACTGAACTGCTTAAGCTGAATTTTTAAAAAGGCGAATGAATGATTTGCCACAAATCTGCTGATGTCTGAAAAATATCTAATGGCAAATTCTCCTATTTTGGTCACTTTACCATACAGAAATAGGACAAAATTTTTAATCCAACAAAAGAGAAGCCTGTACACAGTCTAGAACACACATTTTGCATCTGAGTGTCACAAATGAAGAGAAAAAAAATGAACCAGAGCCACGTTGGTTTATCTGCCTCAGGTACTGTAATCAGGGTAGTAAAGGTGGGTTTACTTCAGTAACCATTCAAGTGGGGATTGGCTCATTTTCAGGATTTACTTACAGGTCTCTTCTAAGTCCTTGAAAGCCCCAGTCCATGCAAATGTCCCACTTGGTGGACAGATGAGTAATCTAACCCCACCGGGTTTATTACGATATTTTGATATTTCAATAATAAGCTGCTTCTGAAGATTTTCTGAGAAGTCTGTTCTCTATTAAAATAAGATAGAACCTCAAAATATGAATGTGAACATTAGAAATAGACAGCATATATTACAAATCCATTCTTGATAGGAACATTAGTAAGAATACACATTAGCTTAAAAAACAGGCTCAGCAAATGTTGCTGATCTGCCAGAAATTTTAGTTCACTATTTACAAATAAGACAAAGTGAAATACAGAAAATTTTACACATTTGGTAGTTGACAGATTATTGTTTACCAATAGTGGTCTATTGGAAAACTGCTATGAAGGAAGACTGGGTAAGAACCAGTTGTTACCTTCTCAAATTTAAATGTACAGAAAACTAGATTAATTCTGAAACAAACATTCTGCCTTTCATGGGAATAACTATGATCAGATGATTTTCTTGGGAAATGCAATTGTGCGGAAGGTTTTCTGAAAATGACTACTATGACTGTATAGATCCACTACTGAAAAGTTGAATTTCTTTCAGTAGACCACTGAAGGTGATTAAATGATCAATGGTCATATTCCTAGACCCCAGGTATGAGGAGAAAATAAAACTACTGTTGAGTTCTTTAAACCAATTTAAAAACTAAGGCCAAACAGCATAAAAAAAATATAGTTTCATGATTCAATGCATCTATGCACTGGGATTAAGCAGAATCTGAGCTACTTCGATTTTTAACTAAAAAATAACCCATTATGTTATGTGTTTCAAGGGGGAGACTTATAAGTTGCTTTAGTAACTGTGCACACTAGTCCAAAGAGACAATTTACCAAGCAACATGAGCTTTTCGTACTTACTTGTACACTAGTATCCTGCACCAATGAATACCAATGGCCATGAAAGTTTGTCATTTCTAACAGAGAACCATCCTCATTAGTAACAAATGCTCAAATCACTTCACTTTTGCTCTGTGTTTTTACTTTAAAGTTGCAAATAGACTTTTCTCCCCCTTTCTTGACAAGAATGTCTTCTGTCCATTATTTCAATCTAATACTGTGTAAAAGCTATCAAATTCTTCAAGGAGGTGCCCCTGTAGGCAGGGTATTCCAGCAACACTTAAATAAAAGGATTTTTTTTCTTTCTTTTTTAAACAATTGGTTTAAAGTCCATGTCATTTTACTTTATATGTACTGGTCTCTCATCTGACTTTAGGCGTTTTCTGCGGGGCTGTATAAAGTCTTCATCAGAGTCCTCAGTCACCTCACCATCATCCTCTTCCTGCTCAAACTCTGGCAAAGGTGCGAAGGTCCTGTCTGAGTAGATCTCTGTGAGTTTATCTTCAAAGTACAATGCAACTGCTTTCCCTGCCTGAGCTACTTCTGAATCAGCCTGCAAGCAAAAGATAGGAATATTCACCTATTGGTAATGCATATTCCTTCACCAAGTTTGCATGGTCTGAAAAGCTTACCTTCAAATTAATCTCTTGTGTGTCTGCATAAACTTGAACAACTTTCATCATCTAAAAAGGATACCAGAGTCAAAAAAAAAAAAGGGAAATTATAATCCTTTCTAAGTTAAGAGACTGCATAGGATTGGTGACGAAAGTCAGCCATACTAGGGAGAACAAATTGCTATAAACAAATTAAATGCTTTCTAAAATTCTACAGAACACGGAACCACTTTCTTTACACAGCTCTGATACTAAAACTACTGTGAAACCTCAATAATTGTCTTATTCCAAACTATCGAGGTCAATCTTAGCAGGAAATGGTCTGAGAACAAATGGTAAAAGAAATGTTGCTTTAAAAAAACTTGTCAAACTTTCAACAAAACAATCAAAATTCTATTTTTATGGCAATATGTTAATCACAAATTATTTAACTGTCAATAAAACGTGTAAAATGGGTATTCTTGTCGACTATAGTTCATGAAACCATTATTTATTTGAAAATAATCTAACTGCATTAAAAAGTAAGACAAAAACTTGGGGTCGTATTTTCTAAATATAAATTAGTGAGATTTTACTAATTTACCCTGAGGCATATTGCTATAAAGGTGACTAGACTTTTCATCTTATAAGAATTTGTTTTTAATATCAAAATGCCACGTGGATGCTTCCAAAAGCTACTGATAGACTTTAAAGGAGTCAACCTGATTTATTTTAGTAATGGTCATGTGGCAACTTCATTTCAGCAGCAATATAGACGTTTTAGTATTAACATTTATAAAGATTTATGGACTCTCATCCAATTCCATTTTCTTCCCCAGTAAAGAAAACCTTCGATAACAGTAACTGAGTTGACTTTATCCCAAAGATAACAAAAAATAATTTCCTTGACAAAAATATATATATTTCTTCTTGAGGTATGGATATCTCATTCTTATCTTCAAAAAATACATAACCAAAGTTAATGAAACTCACATTCCTGAAACCAGAAAACTCACCATTATATAATCTGGGCTATCATTTAAGATAAGTCACCAGAGGTTAAGTTTAGGATTTTAATGTTACACAGTTCAACAATAAAATCCAAGAACATGGGTACAAATACCTTTTCTAAAAGTACCCAAAATGAAGGTGTTTTATAACTGTATTCCATAAAATTACTTAACTGCACACTACTTTTCATACTTAAGCCAAACCAAAACTCATTTATGAAGGGATACTCAATAATTTGTAATGTATTTTATTTAAGTACATACTCCAAATTATAGACAGAAAACCTTCTTCTTTGGAGCTGCAAATAAAATCAAATTTTGCTTTTGTCAGGTTCAATGAAGCAGAAAAAATTTTAAATCAAATTGGAAAATTCTTTCAGTAGGAAAAACAAAACATGCAAACAAAAACCAAGCCACAAGTACCTGCCTAGTAAACACGAGGCCCTGAGTTCAAACTCCAGTACTGCCAAAAACACAACAAAAAACCCAAAAATAAGCCAATACTCTATATGTATGTTGGAAGCTAACATACTTCATTAAACCTTTCACAGTTCTTGAAGATCAAACGAACATCAGCCACAAAGTCATCTGGAATTTGGTAATGTTGGGAATGTTTTTTTTGAAGCTTCTTTTTCACGGTGGATAAGTCCATTGGTTTCTTTATAATTTTATAGTAGTTTGGTATCTAAAAGAAAAAAACAAAACAAAAAAAAAACAACATTAAGAGCAGATAAGAATTCTCCAAAATGCCACATGGTTTAATTTGAAAATGCATAGCATATTAATCACATTTGGGGTGTACATTTTGGACGTACTTCAAAAGTCCTCTGCCCTGTATCATGTGCCAGTCTCTGTGTTATTGGAAGTTTACAAGTTCCTATCTTTAATAAGCACATATGGAAAGAAACCAATCAATCTGAGCAGCTGACCAAAAGCAAGACTATATTTGGCTCATTAGTATTTTATGATTCCTGAAGTTTTTTTTTCTTTTTTAAAGAAGTAAGAAAAAAACTGCAAAATGTAGTTATGATTAGAACCCATCAGCCTCCTGGCTATTGGGATTACAGGCATGTAACGCTACACCCAATCAGAAGCTATTTAAATAGTCCATGAAACGAAAACATTTGAAAGTCATTTTCTACTGTGAAATCCCTGAAGTTAAAGATAAAACAGACTTTCTAGAATCAAATGATTAGTGCTTGTAAAAGGTATCTTCCATCTGTCTACAGACCTTTTGTGCTTTGAAATTCATTTCTTAGCTTACCCAGTAACAAGTCAACTACCATTTATATTCTCTTGCAAACCTGGTATGCAATATGCTTATTCAATGACAAATGGCTAGCATCTAAAACTTATGCAGCATATTTCCTACTTATGAGGCACTGAGATCCCCTGTTCTTTCATTTACTCTAGTATTTTAGAGCCTTTATTCCTTACAAAAGTCTTCTGTAGAATGAACAAAAGGTGCTGACTTGCAAACTTTCTCAAGTATCTTTTCTTAATCTTGTTCAAGAGGGTTTATGATGGCAGAGCCAGTATGATTCAATTGTGGGCTTTCAGACACTTTCTGAATGAGCAGAACTGCAATGTTAGAAATTAATCTAGTCGAATACTCCCACTACACAATTAAAATAGGAAACACAGGGACAGGCAAGGTGATGTACTCCTGTAATCCCAACACTTGGGAGGTGGTGGCAGGAGGAGTGTAGTTCTAGGCCAACCTGTGATATTATGTACCAAGACCCAAAAAATCAAAAACAGACCAACAAATCAATACTACATAAGAAAAAACAGTAAGGAAATGCAGAAAAGTATCTTAATTTCCCCAAGGAAGATCATTTTTTAAATCAGTCAGCCTGGATTACATAGACCCATTTCAAAAAAAAGAAAAGAGAAATACTAGGAGGGGAGAGAACAGGGAGGGGAAAAATGAAGAAAAAGTTGTGTGACTCCTACTCTGATATTTTTCCATTATAAATTATTTCCCATATGTCAATCTGTCAGTTGTAAAAGTAAGAGAGAACATAGAAGCTAAATTTATTAAGCTCTCCTAAGAGCAACAAAATCTGTTAAAACAAATTGCTATTTTTTTTTTTTTTTAAAGACAGAGTCTAGAGCCAGGCGCTGATGGTTCACACCTATAATCCTAGCTATTTAGGAAGCTAAGATCAGGAGGATAATGGTACAAGTCCATCTCAGGCAAATAGTTCTAGAGTCCCTACCATAAAACCAGAGCAAAATGAACTGGAGGTGTGGCTCAGTTGGTATCAAGCCTGCTTTGCTAGAGTGAAGGCCTGAGTTCAAACCCCAGTTCCACTAAAAAAACCCAAAAAAACGACAGGGTCTTGCAAGGTAGCCCAAACTGGCCTCAAATTTTTAATCCTCTTGCCTCAGCTTCCCAAGTGCTAGGTTAACTAAGCAGGTACATGCCACCATACCCAGCTCAACAAACTGCAATTGCAATTGCAACAAACACCTCTCACATCCATTTAGACTTAATAGAATTTTTGACTAAATAAGTTCTTACAATAAGGTACTATGCTTAACACTTTACATTGATTATATATATATTATATATATATATATTATATATAATATAATATATATATTATATATATATTTGATTGATTATATATATATATTTACATTGATTATATATATATTTGGTGGTTGTATTGGGGTTTGAACACAGGGCCTCATGCTTGCTAGGCAGACAATCTACCACTTAAGCCATTCCACTTGTCCTGTTCTGTGTTAAGGTATTTTCAAGACAGGGGCTCGAGAACTATTTGCCCATGCTGGCTTTGAGCTCTGATCCCTGCCTCCTGATATTGGGGTTTTTACTCAGGGCTTTACACTTGTAGGCAGGAGCTCTACCACTTGAGCCACTCTGCCAGCTGTCCTGCGTGGTGACCACAGCTAATGGTATTATATATTTCAAAATTGCTAAAAATTATCATTCCATCATAAAATATTTTTAATTGGTGATAGATATGTTAAATAGCTTGATTAAATCATTCTACATGTACTTTGATCAAAACATCAAGCTGTGCCCCATAAATACACAATTATTATTTGTCAATTAACAATAAATTTTAGCTGGGCACTTGTGGTTCACACTTACAGTCCTAGCTACTCAGCAGGTACAGATCAGGAGGATCGCAGTTTGAAGCCAGACCGGGCAAACAGTGGTCAAGACCCTACCTATCTCAAAAACACACATCACAAAAAGGGCTGGTGGAGTGGCTCAAGGTGTAGGCCCTGACTTCAAGCCCTAGAACCACAAAAGTAAATAAAATTTTAAAAATAGGGGAGTGGGGAAAGGACAATCAGAAAACACTGAGTCTTGCAGAGGTTGGGAAGCTTATTCAAGAAACCTGAGTGTTTTTGGCTAGAAATGTAGCTCAGTGGTTTAGTGTTTGCCTAGCATGCACATGGCCTCAATTCCCAGTACCACATACACACACACAAAAAAGCAGCAGCATCAGTCTGAGTTTAGCTAGGCATAGTGGCTCATGAATGTAATCCCAGCTACTCAAGAAGTGGAGCTTGGGAGGATCAGTGTTCAAGGTCAGACCAGGCAAAAATTTAGCAAGACCCCATCTCAAAAATCTATAAGGCAGAGGTGGTGGTACGTAACAGTTATCCCAGGTACACAGAGCTCACAGATAGATCATGGTCTGAGATTGGCCCTGGGCAAAATTTCAAGACCCTACCTAAAAAATAACCAAAGCAAAATGGACTGGGAGTGTGATTCAAGTGATAAGTCACTGGCCTACCAAGCGGGAGACCCTGAGTTCGAATCTCAGTACTGCCCCCTAGCCTCAATAAAAGAAGTCTGAGTTTTAACACAGCCCTTTCTAAGGCCAAAGTCCACATTCTTAAGTGTTAGATGAGACTTTTTCATCAAGGAGGTAGTACCCATCTATGCAACTCACCGAAACAGGAACAGGCTCCTGGAATTCAATACTTAATTCATGGCAATAGAGGTAAAGCAGAAGGCGTTCACATTTCTGGCCCAAAAATAAAGAAAAGGAAGACAAATTAAGTATTTTTTCCCTAGTAAGATATTCTTGACAAAGACAATGGTATCACTATAAAATGTTATTACAAAAAATTAAACATCAGCTGTTTATATACCAGCTCCAACTAAAAAAACCCACCAGGGCTGATGGAGTATCTCAAGTGGTAGAGTACCTGCCTAGCAAGTGCAAAAAAAAAAAAAAAAAAAGTATGTTTGGCTTAAGTGGTAAAGTGCTTGCTTTGGGAGTGCAAAGCCTTGAGTCCAAATCCCAGTTCCACTACAAAAAAAGAAAAAGAAAACCACCTTGCTTCCAATTTAATTTTGAGGCTATGCTCTGTCCCGTTATTTTAATCTAAAAAAGATGATTTACCTATCATTAACATTTATTTACACAAATAGAAGGCAGGCATAAAAGCAATATATAGCACTTCGTGCAAAAATTTGTAGATTATCTGGTAATAAGTAAACAAATTATCACTGCTGCATGTCATGTAAGGCAGGCAAGACACATGCCCTTATCTCCTTTTCAAATGACTCTACTCAGGTTCAAAATAAATAAAACTGTCTCTCTTTTCAATCCAACTACAAAATCTTTCTTACACAACCACTAAATTGAAATGTATTTAGGTTATTTAGGTTTGTATGTGCTAAATACATTCTTTCTCTTCAGAGATAGTGGAAAAAAGATTCTGCAAGTACACACATCAGATTAGAGTCAAACTTAACTCTAATGAACTATGTGAGAGATGTTTTGTCTCTGGAAATCAAACAAAAATCAGATCAGCAAAAGTTTGAGTGAAGTTAGGAGAGGATTCTGAATTTCATTTTTAACATGATGGGAAACAAAGGATTTTAAGCAAGGAACTGATAGACTTGTTCACTTTTTTTTTTTTTTTTTAAAGAACACTTAAAAGCATAGAAAAACAGACTAAAGGGGACAAGAGAAGAAAGACAGAGACTAGTTATGAAATTATACTAGTCCAGATAAGAAGTATCATGGGTATCTAGAGTAGTAATGGGTAGTAATGGTGTACAGAAGAAAACAGAATTGCAGTCATCCTTGGTGTTTCATTTCTAACAGGTTCTAGACTGAGAAACAGAGGTGAATGATGGTGTCACTTGATGGGAATTCGTGCGAGGGAGTAGTTTTTCATGTTATTTGCTTGTTTTTTGAAGAAACTAGATATAAGCATCTCAAACTCAGGACTAGAGATAAAGATTTCAGAGGTCACTAACACACCATGACATGATGAGATTACAAAGTGAAACTCATAATATGTGTATATTACATAGGAAAAATGTAGATATATAGGCAGACATAACAGATCAACTTATTTGACACTTACCCTTTGGTCCACAGGGCTTAACCCCTGTACAGTTTTCCCCTTCTTACTGTGTTGCAAATTGTCACAATCATATTCAACTTCTGGCTTCCCAATATCTCTGCAAAATGTGCATATCCATTCCCCACTAAGCAGGGAAACAGGCAATTAGTACATGTAATTATAAAAAGCTTGCTCTAGAGATGGTAGTTCCCAAGATGCAAGTTTGTTTTCTTTAGTTTCCAATTTTTTGGGGAAAGAACAGTCCTTTACTTGTCAAATCTTACTCCCCAAGACTTTTCCCAGACATCCATCAAGAAATTACCTTCTGAAAACTATAAAATGGTACCTCTATATTAAAAATGGATCTATTCCTAGCAGAACATTGGTGATTAATTACAACCTGCAGCATTAACACCTAACACCAGTTCTTTCAGGTTCCCATAAAACCACTACATGGACCGAATTCCTGAATAAGAAAATAGCAGGAGGGGCTGGAGGTGTGGCTCAAGCAGTAGAGTGCCTGCTCTCTCTCTCTACCTGAGTTCAAACTCCAGTAGAAAGAGATAAGAAAAAAAGAGAAGGGAGCGAAGAAGCAGGGAGAGAGGAAGGGAAGGAGGTAGGGAGGGAGGGAGGGAAGGAAGGGAAGAAAGGAAAGGAAGGAAGGAAAGGAGGGGAAGGAAGGAAAGGAGGGGGAAGGAAGGGAAGGGAGAGGGAGAAAACAGTAGAGGATATGGAGTTTTTCAGGTATCTCATAATGTTTTGGCATGTACTGAACATGCCAATAATAAATCAAGTTTTATTACATGATCATTCAAAAGACAGAACACACAAACACGTACCTGTAAGCATAAGCTCATGTACATACATTCCTTACTTTTTTTTGTGTTTCTGTTTTGCTTTTTTTTTTTTTTTTTTTTGCAGTACTGGGGAGGGGCAGGGGTTGTTGAATTCAGAGCCTTCACCTTGAGCCATTATACCAGCCCTTTTTTTGTGATGGGTTTTTTTTGAGATAGGGTCTCTTGAATTATTTGCCCGGGGTTGGCTTCGAACTTTGATCCTCCTGAGTAGCTAGGATTACAGGAGTGAGTCACCAGCACCCAGCTACACTCCTTACTTTTTAACTCTAATCAAGTCTATTCTTTATTTTTCTATCAAACTATAAATTCCCAAATGACTTCTTCATATTTCTCCTGTATTCCCTCCATCAGTCTATATAGATACATTAATTATACAGGGATATTTAGACTTATCTAGATGGATAGATAAATCTTCAGTCTAGGAACTATCCTGACTAATCTGTGTCAATAGTTTATAATTCTTTCCAAAGCACCTGCCTTTGACAGAAAGCATTCATTGGCGGGATCCCTATGTACCAACAGACGTTACTAACCAAAGGAAAGAAAAATAGGAAATCCTTAATTTCAAGACCAGAGAGCCAATGCTTTGCTTTTCTGAAAGAATAAAGAGAAGAATTCCCTTATTACATCACTAGCAAATTACTGTATCTCCTAACTTTTAGGTAAGAATTATGATTTAAAAAATACTCTGGCACTGTTTAGATAGCCATGAGTTTACTTACTTTTTCTTTTCTTTTTTTTGTTAGTGCTGGGGTTGAACACAGGGTCTTCTACATGACAAACAAGCAAAACAAATACATTTGTACATTTATCCATACATAAAACAAACAAGAAAAACAGGACTGAAAAGACACAGGACAGGTGGCGAGGTGGTACATGCCTATAATCCGAGCTACTCAGGAGTATGAAGTGGGAAGATTGAATATTTGAAGCTTATCTGGACAATTTTGCAGAACTCAAAATAAAAAAATTAAAAGGGCCCGGCACGTCATTTACTGATAGAGCACTCGCTTAGCATGTGTGAGGCCCTGGGTTCAAACCCCAATACCAACAACAATCAAAAAGTATGACTCTACTATTTTATGGTATCTGAAATTACTGAGACACAAGAGAGTGCATGAATATAAAATGTTAAGTGAGGGAAGAATCAAGAGATCTTCTAAACCAAGCCCTAATGCTTGGAAATACAGAAACTGACACTTGAAAATCAGGAAATTATCCAAACTCACTGAAGAATCACAACCAGACTACACATACACATAACCATCCCACATTATGAGCTAGAATCATGTGGTTGCCTGGGGTAGTCACTTCTGAATGCTGAATGCTTCTAACTATACTCAACAATCTCTAGGCAAACAGTCTGAGGACAAAGCTCATATTCTCTTCCAATCTCTTTACCCCTCACTCGCCTCACCTACATAAGGAATTTGATAACTGCACATTCCAGAGCTAATGAATGAATGAAAGGCATTCCTAGGCTGGGAGTGGTGGATCACACTTGTAATCCCAGCACTTGGGAGGCTGAGGCAGGAGGCCAGTCTGGGCTACACAAAGGAACTGGTCTTAAAAACAAAGAAATAGGGCTGTTGATGTAGCTCAAAGGTAGAATGCTTGCCTAACATGTATGTACAAGGCCCTGGGCTCATTCCCAAGCAATACAAAAAAAAAAAAAAAAAAGACATTCCTACCAGCTGACCAAAGGAAAAGGTAGAAATCAGCACATGGTGCTTTAGGAGGCACTATCAACTGACTGCTTCAAGTAGTCAAGAGGAAATTACTTCCTCCAAAATAACCAAGACACTAAAGGTATTTAAAGTTTAGAAAAAGTTGTGGGTATGACCCAACAGAGCTGCCTCAAACTAAATTGCGTTCATAAATAAAATCATTATTAGAGACCCTAAATAAGATTGATAGTAACAGACTTTAAAAATTCACCTTCTGGGCTAGGAGTGTAGAAGGCTGCCTAGCATACATAAGGCATTGAGTTTAATCTCCAGCACCATACACAAAACATAAATAAATAAAAAATTCACCTTCAAGAAGAAATAAGACTTTTTCCAGCACACAAATCCCCTGGCCCATTACCCCTCTTAAGAGTTTTATCTAATGTGCTTACAGTAATATGAACTCAAGTCCAGGAAATGAAGCCACTCATTATCATGAAAGTTCCACTTATATTTTGGACCTTTATCATTCTGTTGATAGTTTCTCTGGAAGTTAGTATCAAAATAACAAACTGTTTTTGTAGAAATACTGTGCAACAGTAAAGAAGGCTATTTGCCCTGAACAACTTTATTTTATTTTAGCTTTGAAAATAACAGTAACAAAATTAATTCTTTCACTGGTACCTTGGAAAGCTAAGAAGTGTTGGAACATGACAAGTTAGGTGAAAGACCTTTGGACATTTTTCACAGCACAATAGATCCCCTCCATTTTGGCAGACAGCACACCAATCTTCATTTGGGTCATCATCTTTGCTGCTGCCATCTCCAATCCTTGCTGACCTATGCATGAGGCTTCGAACTGGAGACTTTCCATTAACTAGGCTACCAACCCCTGACTGTTTGCAGCTTTCATTCATATCTGTAGGTTCAGTTTTCACATGGTTATCAAGGTTTGCTAATGCATCCAACTCGCTCTCTAGATGCAGGTTGGTTGAAAGAGGTGGTGTCAAGCTGCTCTCGGGACTGCTCAACTAAAACAAAACAGACAAATTCTTAGAAAATCACTTGATCTTTATTGGATGAAGTATGTGTATACACTTCAAGGTTATGTCAATATACGTGTACATATGCTTACTTAAAGTTAACTTAAAATTATTTTGTAGATCACTACAGTGACATAAAAAACAAAAGTAACCCCAAAATTATTTAGGAATACTGATACATGATTTTAGAAGGTCTGTCCATCTAACATTGGCTCACTCACATAAGCAAATAAGTTAAACCTTAAGTGCACTGACTGGGAAGTGCGAACTGATTACCATACACTTTTTCCAACCAGAATTCACTGCATAGAATTTGAGAAGCATGCTGTAAAATACCCTACTGCCCACCTCTCATTCTACTAATGCAGGAAGACTGTGACATGCAAAGCAGACCTTTCAGCACCCTTTTGTACTTGTTTTTTTGGGGTATCTTCCAAACTAAGTTCTGGAGGAGACATTCCTACAAACCCAACACTAATTAAACCTGTTGGTTGCTAAGCAACATATAGACTGCGTTGACTATACTGGTATCTCTAGATACTTATGTGCCAAAAACGCAGACACTAAGACAGAGCCTGGACAGGAAGAAAAACAAAAATCAAAATTTCTAAATCAAAGGGCTTGGGCTTACTTTAATTCTTTATTATAATTTTTATAGAATGCTCTCATAGGACTGGGGGTATGTCTTCAGTGGTAGAGTGTGTGCCTCGCGAGCATGGGGTCTCAGTAGCACACTAAAGAATATTCCATCAAAGCAACTTTAGAATGGAAAGTAATTCATAAGGCAAAAGGAGAATCTTCCCATCACCAAAATCTTTTGTCAATGAACTTCTTTCATGAGTAATCTTAATGCTGAGCTCATGAGTCAAGGACAATAGCTAAATGAGTGAGATGATTGATAAATTCAGAACAACACTGTACAATTAGTATGTACTAATAAGAAATGTGGGAAAAAAGCAGGTGGGATATGCCTCTGTGGTGGAGTACTTGCTTAGCACTTATGAGGCCCTGTGTTTGAGCCTTAGCACTGAAAAAAAAAAAAAAAATCAGAACAAGCTAGAACCTATTTAGCGTCATGGCAAAAATATTAACCAAATACAAATTCAAAGATAATTTCAGGCCTGGAGGTGTGGCTGATGCAGTAGATCACCTCTCTTTGCAAACGTAAAACCCCGAGTTCAAACCCCAATCCTACCAAAAAAAAAAAAGGGGGAAAAAAAAATTCAAATGAGCACTTAAGCAAGTTTTTTCTGATTAACTACCAATGACTCTTAATCAAATCAACGAATTACAGAAACAATTACTTGGCTTGTGTCAGGAATAAAAATATAAACACAAATAAATATCCCCAGATCCTCTATTTAGTCAGACCCTGACGGGACCTTACCATGCAGGCACTCCTCCTGCCATCCTCTGTCTTTTCTTGTTTCACAGCTCCTGAAAAGCTACATATTTCATCTTCAGTCCCTGGTTCTTGCTTGACCTTCACTTGATCTGATTTGAAACTAAGACCTGTCTTCTCAGCAGTTCTTCCTGATGATCCACAGCTAATAAAAAACAATAAACAGAGGTACATGTTTCATTGTATGGCATTAAATCAAAACCATGAAAAGAAAAGTAGTATTTATCAAAGTGAAGACAATAGACAAGTAGCTCACAGAAGATAAGGACACCTCAGAATGCAGTTAAGAGGAGTATGACAGAAGCCTAGCTTCAAATCTTCTTAAAAATGTACATCAAACTTTAAGAAGACTCTAAAAATACATCTCATGCTCTGAGGCACTGATAGTCAATCACAGAGGAGTCCTGTAAAGAATCATGGCTCCAGGCCAGTGCAGGTTAAATAGCCCTTCTCTGAAATGCTTGGGATTAGTTTTCAGATTTTCTTTTTTGGAGGTACTGGGGTTTTGAACTCAGGGCCTCACGCTTGCTAGGCAAGAGCACTACCGCTTGAGCCACTCCTCCAGCCCTGTTTTGTGATGGGCTTTTTGAGATAGGGTCCTGCAAACTATTTGCCCAGGCTGGCTATAAACCTCGATCCTCCTGATCTCTGCCTCCTTAGTAGCTAGGATTACAGGTGTGATCCACTGGCGCCCAGCTGGGTTTTCAGATTTTGAAGCATTTGTGTATATAGGATGAGAAGGTTCTGGGATGGAACCCAAGACTAAACATGAACTTCCATCACGTTTCCTATACATATAGCCTGAAGGTAATTTTATACAATATTTTAAGTGCACCCTGCATTTTGACTGTGACCTACCACATAAGGTCAGGTGTGGAATTTTCCACTGAAAAATATTTCAGATTTTGGATTTTAGATTAGGGAAGCTCAACCTGTAGTATATAATGTCAGTGATTGCTTCTCTTTATAAAAATAGTTTAGATTTTTTTCTTTCTCTCCGAACATCTAAGAAATTCAACATCACCAGAGGTAGTTCACAAAGCCTCTTTTATTTATTTATTTATTTTTTGTGGTGGTGGTACTAGGGTTTGAACTCAGGGCCTCACACTTCCTAGGCAGGCACTCTACCACTTGAGCCACGCCAGCCTTTTTTTTGGTGTTGAATATTTTCAATAGGGTCCTGAGAACAATTTGCTTGGGATGGTTTCGAACCTCGATCCTTCTATCTCTGCCTCCTGAGTAGCTAGGACTACAGATGTCAGCCACTGGTGCCCAGCACAAAGTTCTTCAAAGGAAAGATTGTTCTGACTTTTGGGAGAGGGGGACTGAAAGAAAGGAACAATAAGTAGGAAACAATTTGGAATATCTTATTTGAACCATTGCAATGATAGGCAAGAGGACTAATCATGATCACCATTCGTTGAAGTAACTGGTAAGTCTATACTGCTACTGAGAATGAACACTGTTTTTCACTGTGTGTATTTTTCTTCTAAAAGTAAGTGATTTAAGTATCATTAAAACATTAAAAAGTCAGTCAAGGGTTGGCAAAGTGTCTCAAGCAGTAGTGTGCCTGCCTTGCAAGCGTGAAGCCTTGAGTTCAAACCCCAGTGCTGCAAAAAAAAAAAAAAAAAAAAAACCAGTCCATTATTTAATAGCACCATCTTCAGAATTCACACACACACACACACACACACACACACACACACACAAAATAAACAATTAGTATCTTAGAGAATTATCTGTTAAAGTTTTTAGGTGTGATTATGGTTCTGTGTTTAAATTTTTAAAATTCTTATTGTTCAGTGATACTGAAGTAGTCACAAGTAAAATGGCATGATTTCTGAGATTAGTTTCAATAGAATCCAGACCAGGAGAAAATGGATAAGAATACAGAGGAAGCAAGATTGGCCCTAACTTAATCATTGTTGAAATGGGTGGCAGGTATAGGAGGTTAGATAGCCCACTTTTATTAAATATGTAAGTTTTTCTTAATAAAAGGAAAAAATAGTTATTAATAACACAATACTCACCTGCCTCGACTGCCAGTACTAGAGGTACTAGGGGGTCTCACAGGTGTGTGAGAATTGGATAAACCTAAAAAATAGTAAGTTAAACTGAGTACCAACACATTTGAGAATGTTCAGAAGTTTAGACTATTATAACCCAACTCAAAAATGTCTGGAACTCAGAGCTGGCTGCAAAGTCAGGGACGACATATACAACTATTATCAAGATATCAGCCAGTTTCTCTCAGCTGAGCCCAGACATCACCTCTGAATCCTCTTAGAACAACAATATCCAATAAATAAAAACTACCAAGTCAAGAGAAATCTGTCACACTTCCCTCAAGTCACCTGGCAAAATACAAAGACTCTGTCATTTGTTTTTTCTTGGAGACAGGGCCTCACTAACATAGCCCCGGCTGGCCTCAAACTCTTCAAACTCCTTTCTCAGCTTCCCCAGTGCTGAGATTACAGGTTTGAGTCACCATGCTCAACACTCCTTATTCTTTTTAGAAGTACTGAAATAATTACTAAACCCTAAAACTTATATGAATCCAAAAATGTTAATGATGCACCTTGTGCAAAATCCCCAATTTTATTTCAAATGTTCTTCCTCCAGAAATAATGAGGTGGTCTGTTTTCAGAAAGAAAAAAAAATTCACTTAGGATACATCACAAAATATATTCCATAAGCACATCTGGACACTGTCTCAGTTGAATCAACTGGTAGTAGGATCAACAAAACCAGGATTTTGAAAGAGGTATATCTCATGGACATTTCAACAGTCTCAAGTAAATTTAAGTTTTTATTTAAAAATTACAATTCGAAAATTCACTTGCTTTTCTTCAAACTTATAAAACAATTTTTCATTATTATAAGTGTTTTAAAGTTTGGTTGAAAGCAAAAAACTCCAGTTAAGCATCTGTACTGTTAAATACAAGACACAGAAAATGAAGGCACTCTAAACCCGCCAACAAATAAACATGGTGGGGTTGGGTATAGAGCTCTCAACAGCACAGACTACAGATACATACATAGTATCACTTCAGTCAGCCAAAGACTGCCAGCACTGTTTGAACACCACCACCACTACCACCAACAGAAACTAGAAAGAACCACCAAGAAAAAAATCTTCCTGTGACAGTTAATTTTGTGTACTTGGCTAGGATGTAGTATTTAGCTGTTTGGTCAAACACCAGTATATATGTTGCTGTGAAGGTAATTTTTGATGTGATCAACATTGAAGTCAGTATATTCTAAGAAATGCAAATTATCTCCCACAATGTGGGTGGACCTCATTTAACCAGCTGAAGACCCTGATACGCTAGAGCTGTTGCTCTCCTGTAGGAATTTTGTCTCTAGATTCTGGACTCAAGACTGTAACACAGGGCTGGTGGAGGGGCTCAAGTGGTAGAGCACCTGCCTAGCAAGCATGAGGCCCCGAGTTCAAATCCCAATATCACACACACACACAAAACCCCACTAATGTAACCTTCCTGGTTCTCCAGCCTGCCAACAGCCCCACAATCACAAAACCATGTGAGTCGATTCCTTAACATAAACATACCTCCCTCTTGTGCCTGAAACAGACACTAAATACACTTTTTCTTTGAAGGTGTTAAAGAAATGAGGCAATATCCCTGTTTGCTTTACCTGATGATCCTGGAGATAAAGCAGAGGGTCCTGGGGAAGGATTCATGGTGCTTGTAGGCTGTGGGGGTAGGTGACTGCCTGTAATGTATCTACTTAGTAGGTTATCTAAACTACTTGATCCAGCATCCTCCAACTGAAGAAAAAGAACATAAAGACAAATTTGCTTTGATTAAAGCTGAGGCAAAGGTATTAATTTCATTAGTGTCACTGCTTACAGTCAAGTTTGCTAATAAACTAACATTTTCCAGTATCCAGCTCAACTTAACTGCTGCTTCCGTAGGCTGCTCTGAGAACCCATACACGTAGAAAATTTATCTTTTGTTTGATTTTTTTTTTTAGACGCTCACACCATGTGGCACAGCCCTCAAATTTAACGGTCCTCCTGCTTCAGTCTCCCTGACACTGAGATTACAAATGTGTACCACAACACCCAGCTACAAGTATAAAGTTTATGTGACTAAAACTATAATTTGCATTATATGACAAATACACAACTGCTCGAGACAAAACCACACAATCCACTAAATCCTGTATGATCTACTACAAAAATAGTTCCTGACACAGTTTTGTCTTTTCTCAAAATTGCTGCAGAACTCTATTTATCAGTATCCTTGTCACTAGTCTCCCTCCATTTCAATGTCCACACTCATGTCAGAATCATTCATTCAAACAGAAATGCAGCTCATCCCTGTAATCCTAGCTATTCAGGAAGCAGAGATCAGGAGGACAGTGGTTCGAAGCCAGCCTGGGCAAATAGTTCTTAAGACCCTATCTCAGTTCTTATAACCCATAGAAAATCTTCTGCTTGACACAGAAGACCCATTCTTACACTTATACACACACACACAGCAGTCAACAGGGAACTGGAACCTTTTATACTTAGAGGCAGCAGGATAAGGTCAGAGGACACGTGGCACCGTGATTTTGGGCTAGTGCCCAAAATAAACATCATTTTCCTGTATTTAAAATATCCCATCTATACTTAAGAATTATGATTACTAAGTGAGAAAACATTTATATAAGAGTAAAAAGATACTACTTAAACATGAAAATTATCTTAAATTAAATTTTGCAATGGTTGAACATTTTTCAGTATTGTTTTTTTAATCTTTTTTGTTTATTTGTTAGCAACTGTATTGGGGTTTGAACTCAGGGCTTCAGGCTTGCCAGACAAAAACTCTTATCACTTGAGCCACACCTCCAGCCCTTTTTGCTCTAGTTATTTTGGAGATAGGGTCTCACTTTTCTGCCCAGGCCTGCCTGGACCACGATCCTCCTATTTTAGCTTTCCTGAGATAGCTGGTAGGACAGGTGTGCACTACCACTCCTAGCTTTTTTCTGAGATAGGGTCTTGCAAACCTTTTTGCCCTGGCTTGCCTGGAACCACAGTCCCCCTGATCTCAGCCTCCTACATGGCTTGGGATGACAGGCACATGCCACTGCACCCAGCTATTGCTTGAAATGGGATCTTTCGAAGATTTTGCTAGGCTGGCCTCAAACCTTGATCCTCTATAAGGATATATATTGAAAACTGTTCAAAAATGGAGGGGTGGGAGGGAAGGGGTAAGGGAGAGCAATGGAAGGGACTGAACTGACCAAAGTCAAGTATACTCACAATGGAGATACATCAAGAAACTCCTCTGAACATCGACTTAGAAATTAATAACAAAAGACAGGGCTATAAAATAGGTACAGTGTGTGTGAGGAAGTACTTGTGGGAGGGGACAGAAGGTGAACAAAGGAGATTAAGGCAAGGGAATATGGTTGATGGGCTTCATATATTTATATGAAATAGAACCTTGTAATTGCAAGTGGGGCAGGAAGGTGCTGAGGAAGATTGAGGAGGAGAGATGGTGCAGGTGATCTAACCAACATACAATGCAAGCCTATTCAGAATTGTCACAATGAATCCCCCACACACAACGAATATATCCATATAAAAAAATTAAAAAAAAAAAAAGTCTACACCTTCATCCTCCTGATCTCAGTCTCCTAAGTAGCTAGGATTACAGGTATGAGCCTAGAGTACCTGGCTTATTTCTTGCTTATTGTTCTGTTTATACTCATACTGTCTCCTTCCAATCTCCTCTTCCACTAAAGGTCAGATTATTTCTTATGAAAATCTGCGTCTGGTTCAAGGTAAAACTGCATGCACTTGATTCTTGCTTTCCTTTTCTCCTAAAAGTACACTATTTTCACAGCAATGGAACAGAAAAGATGAAATCAAAGTATAAACTTTGGAGGAAACTATGAATACAAACTAAGGTACGACTGAATTGAAAGAAAAATTATCAGAATGAACAGCTCACAACACATTCCAGGCACAAGAGGATCCTTCTACAAAGAAGGAGCCTTTAAAAAGTCTCAAGCCAGAGACACGTAGGATTAAAGGTGAAAGGAGGCTGTGGGTTATTTAGAGAGACTATTAAAAGACAGTAGTAGTTCTGCCTTTCTACCCTGTGGTCACAGCTATTGGCTGAAGGTTCATTTGTAAGCTGTAACTGCAGGAGAATTTCTAGTACAAATGATGTCAACTGCAGGATATGTGAAAAGAGAGGCTCCTGAAAGTGGGCCAGGTAGACATGGGCTGCGTATCAACTAAAAACAAACAAAGGGGAATAACTCAAAACAGACATGAAAACCCATGTTATCCACCTCTACTCCACTCATTTTATACTTTTTACATGTAATTTATATCTCTGATTAAGAGACAACCCTAAGGCTAGAAGAATGAACAGGTCAAAAAATGAACAGGAAGGAAGCATAAAGTCACCACAAATAAATTTCAAAGTCTAACTGGAAAAGTATCAATTCACTTATTTATTAAACCAATTTTCTTTAGCATTCCTGAGTAACAATTACATTATAAAAAGGATTTCTCGGATATAAAAGGAAACAAATGGTCCAACAGAAAAATGACCAAAGGCAATTCACAGAAGAAATAAAAATAATGAACAACCACAAAAGATAACCAACCACTCTAAAGGGTTGAAAATCAAGCTGGATGTGGTACACACGCCTGTAAGACCAGCACTCATGAAGCTGAGGCAAGAGATTTGAGTTCAAGGTGAGCCTGAGTTACATAGTAAGATCCTTTCTTGCTATATTAAAAAACAAAAAAACAAACAAAAAAAGGCAACTAGAGAGAAACGAAAATCAAATCACAATTATATCATTTTACTTATCAAACTGGAAAAGATGGAAGAAGCAAATGATTAATTTAACCTAGTGCTGGGAAGACAGTGCAGAAATGGACACTTATAAAAATATAAGCTGGAATGTTTTTGGCAAGAATTTATCTATGCAAAAGTTTTGAGGTGACCTTGTAATGAAAGTCTATGCAAAATTTAAATGTATAATCACTTTTGACCCAGTAACAACATTTGTACCAACTTACCTTAAAAAATATTTGTGTATTTAAAGCTACATGCTATTGTGACTCAATATAACGTCTGAAAACCATCATTAAAGTATAAACAACATTGGAATGTACAATCTGGCATGCTTTCACATAATATGGAATTGGAAAACCAATATAAAGAACAGAGGACAGATCATATCCATCACTGTCCTGCTCCTCCATGCGCTCCCTCCCTCAACCTGTTCTTAATCACCTCAATGATCTGCTTCCTGCCATTTTAGTTTTGTTTTCCTAGTTTTATATAATGGAACCATAACAGGTACTTTTTCCTTCTGTTTTCATTCAGTGTAACTATTACTTGTCTCAAGTTCACTCCTTTTTACTACTGAGATCATTAATAGCCTACCATATGCATACACAATTTCTTTATTCATTTGTCTGTATATAGGTGGACATTTGTTTGGATTGTTTCCAGTTTTTGTCTCATTTCAATAAAGCTGCTACGAACATCTGTACACAAGTCTTTGTGCAGTCATTTATTTCCTTTTTCTTCAGCAAATACACAGCAGTAGAATGACAAGATGATTCTGGTACATATATGGCTAACTTTTTACATTCCTACCAACAGTGTGTGGAGGTTCTAGTTCCTCCACTTTCTCACCAATACTTGGTATGGTTAAGGTGTAGTCCTTTTAACCTTAGTCATCATCACTGTTGTTTCTCACTGGGTTTTTTAACTTGCATTTCCCTAATGACTGATGTTAGCAGCTTTTCACAAAGGCTTTGTTTTCCGCAGTGAGGCTGAAAAAAGGTTCACAACAGAGAAATTAAAAAATACAATCCTAACAAAGTGGAATACTATATAGCTTTAAAAACAAGAAAACCATGAACTGACATGAAGAAGGGAGTAGATATTTTCATTTTTTCCTGATTAACATGTTTTTAAACCTACAATGTTGTTACATTTGTAAGGCCTACAGAGGCCTCTGAAAAACTAGGCAGGGCCCAGTATGGTGGTATACACCTGTAATCCCAACAGTCAGGAGGCTGAGGCAGAAGGATAATGAGTTCAAAGCTAACCTGTGAGACCCTGTTTCAAAACAAAACTAGGAAAGTGTTATAGGTCCTGGAAGTCTTCCTATTCCTCCTCACCTACCACCAAGCCCTTCAAAACGGCTTCTTATTGACCTTAGGATGAAATTAAAAATCCTAAGGTCAGAAACAATAGCCTGGTTTCTGTTTTCCTCTGCAGATTCCTTTCATGCTGCTTCTGCCTACTTTTCCTTTCCTTGGTAGCCATTTTTCTCTTGTTCAAATGTGCCCAGTTTCTTACTTCATGGACCAAGAAATTCTGTTCCATTTAACTAGTAAAATTTACTGATGACACCTTCTCTACTAGTCTTTACTAAAGCCTCCAGGTGTCAGAGGCTTTAACAACCCACTAAATTTACATTGTACACTCCTCTTTTTTTTTTTTTAACACTAAACAATTTATTCATAGAGTAAAAGCTTCATGGGTATCTTTATTCTCCAGGACTACAAACTTCATGACAGCATGAAGTTCCTTCCTCTTGTTCCTCAAGAGAAGCAGAAAGGACTGGAAGCATGGCTCAAGTGGTAGAGGCCTGCTTTGCAAGAATGAAGCTCTGAGTTCAAATCCCACTCTCACCCAAAAAAAAAAAAGAGAGAGAAAGAGAGAAACAGAAAGTCAGGACTCAACACATTTGTTGACTGAATAATTGTAAGTTTTCTTTTAAGCATAATCTCTTGATCCCTCCTTCCAAAACTACATTATAATAATAGCTGGGAAGGGGGAACCAAGTTAATCATAATAGCAACTAACATTTATTGAATATCCATTTACTGGCAGAAACCAATCTAAATACCTTACATGAATTATCTTGTTTACTCTTCCCAAATCCATGGGGCAGATTCTACTGATGCTCCAAAATTTTAAGAAACTAAACAATGACAAAGCAGCATTTAAGACATCACAAAATCCAATTGCAAACTTTGCTTGGAATCTCACATTCCTTTCACACACCGGCACTTTTGCAATATGTAACATCTCCTACCCAGAGTTTCTGCCATCCTTAATCTTGAGCATCTACTACTCAAACTATAATCATTCCAAGCAGCTGGCCACCACAACTGCCCTTACTGCATTCTTGATCATATCAGGAGGCCATCTTAGTGGGTGACCTACACCATCTAGATTTGTGTAAATACATCCTATGCTCTTCACACAATGATGAAATCACCAGTGTTCTTCTCACAGCACACTCCATTGTTAAGTGACACCATAAATAAGCATAACCTGAGAACTTGCCTTTAAGTTTTATTTACCAATTTTTTCTTACAAATTATTATGCTTTGCAGCTGGTGGAGTGGTTCAAGTGGTAGAGCACCTCCCTAGCAAACATGAGGCCCTGAGTTCAAGTCCTAGTACCACCAAAAAAGAAGACGGAGAAGGCTACACAATAAATTATGCTTTGTTGAGGGCACTATTTCTCTCAGAACAATAAACATCACTGCATTATAGTATATAACTTCTTACAAATATTCAATAATTTAAATTTATTTGATTTCACACACACACACACACACACACACACACACACAGACACGGTTTTCTAAAGACTTCATATTCATCCTGATAAATGAAGTTACTAAGTATGCCAAATAAGGATACATTTTCAAAGAATTTATAAATCACTACGACACTAAGCCTGTTAATCATAATCTAACATGAATAGAATCTAGTATTCCTTTACTTAAAAAGAATTTAAGTTTACATACCATTTCTCTGGGTCAACATTACGAATATGCATTATCGTTATACTGGGAATGGAGAATTGCACAAAATAAATAAAAACAATTCAAGTTAAGAGAATTCTATTTAAATCAAGTTTTGCTCGCTCAATACTGTATTGATCAGTACTGTATTGATAACTGTATTGATCAGTACTAAGATAAATCAACAATGGCCAGATGGCTGATGCCTGTAACCTCAGTTACTTGGGAGGCAGCAATCAGAAGGATTGTGTTGAGGCCAATCAGATCAAAAAGTTAGTGAGGCCCTATCTCAACAAAAAAGCTGGGTGTGGGCTGGAGGTGTGGCTGAATGATGAGTGCTTGCCTTGCAAGCATGAAGCCTTGAGTTCAAACCCCGGTAATGAAAAAAAAAAAAAAAAAGCTGGGCACAATGGCATGTGCCTGTCACCCCAAATATAGGAGGATCACAGTCCACGTTGGTCTAGGTACAAAACAACAACAAAACCCCACTAGACCATACCAGAAAAATAAAGTGGGAGAAAAAAAAAAAGAGGGTGAGGGTATGCTTGAGTGCTAAGAGCACCTGCCTTGCAAGCCTGAGGCCCTGAGTTCAAACACCAGTACCATCAAAAATACATAAGTAAAACAAATAACCAAAGTTGTCTTTGTATTTATTTTGTTTGCTTTGCGTAGTTAATACTACCCTATTTGCTCCCTGTGTAACCTCCCCTAGGTTTCTATTTACTACACCATAGAACCTACAGAAGAATGGGGGGAAAGTAGGTGACTTGAAGAGGGGCTTCTATTTCTGGCTCATGTTGTTTAATTATTTTGAACTATGCATGCTTGTGCTTTTGTGGTAACCACTTCTAACTGCCTTTTTTTTTGGTGGTACTGAAGTTTGAACTCAGGGCCTTATGCTTGGCTAAGCAGGCCCTCTACTGCTTGAGCCACTCTCCACCAGTCCTCTTAAATGCTTTTAAAAATTGGTGACAAGAGCAAGTATTGGTGAGAATGTAGAGAAACAAACCGTTATGCACTGCTGGTGAGGATGTGCAATGGTGTAGCACTGACTGCTATGGGCTCTCTTCCTTTACCATGCACTTAGCTTTCCAAAGATGCAGAGCAGCTAAATTTACTCAATGTGGTTTTTGGGAGAAAGATCTGAGCCAAGTTAGAGTAGCCCTAACAAGTTAGGTTAAGTTCTCACATTAGCAACCAGCCTTTTCCCTATTACAGCCTAGTTTTGCTTATCTTCTCAACCTCAATGCTGGAGGACTTTAGCATACATTAAGTGCTTAGTAAAATCCGAATGACTCCTTTGACAGTATGAATACCTCTGGTTGTCCAGACTCTGAGTCCCATACCTTTGGAGGCCTACAATCTTACCTACCGGTAATGCTATGAATAACTTATAATCAGGAGTCTGGTCTTTAAATGTCAACTTTTTAACCTACTGTGACTCTGGGAAAATCATCAAATTCTCTTACTCCATCATAATAGAAACATTATATATCATATCAGGTGATTTTTTTTTTCATTTATTCATATGTGCATACAATGTTTGGGTCATTTCTCCCCTTCCCCCCTCCCCCTCCCTCTCCTTCCTGCCTCCTCCCTCTCCCCCTACCCCCTCACTTCCAGGCAGAAACTGTCCTGCCCTTATCTCTTATTTTGTTGAAGGCAAAGTATAAACAATAATAAGAAGGACAAAGCATTTTTGCTAGTTGAGATAAGGATAGCTATACAGGGAGATTCCTAGCATTGCTTTCCTGTACATGTGCATTACATTCTAAGTTGATTCTTCTCAAACTGACCTTTTCTCTAGTTCCTGGTCCCTTCTCCTATTGGCCTCTGTCACTTTAAAGTTTCTGCATTACTTCCTTTGCATTGAGGACATCAAATACTATGTTTTTTGGGGTCTCTTAACTATCCTCGTACCTCCCTTGTGTGGGCTCACCTTATCATGTGCTCAAAGTCCAATCACATTGCTGTATTTGCCCTTGATCTAATGTCCACATATGAGGGAGAACATACGATTTTTGGTCTTTTGAGCCTGCCTAAGCTCGCTCAGAATGATGTTCTTCAGTTCCATCCATTTATTTGCGAATGATAAGATTTCATTCTTCATGGCTGAGTAGAATTCCATTGTGTAAAATACCACATTTTCTTGATCCATTCGTCAGTGGTGGGGCATCTTGGCTGTTTCCATAACTTGGCTATTGTGAATAGTGCCGCAATAAACATGGGTGTGCAGGTGCCTCTGGAGTAACCTGTGTCACAGTCTTTTGGGTATAGCCCCAACAGTGGTATTGCTGGATCATATGGCAGATCTATGTTTAGATTTTTAAGTAGCCTCCAAATTTTTTTCCAGAGTGGTTGTACTAGTTTACATTCCCACCAGCAGTGTAAGAGGGTTCCTTTTTCCCCCCGCATCCTCGCCAACACCTGTTGTTGGTGGTGTTTCTAATGATGGCTATTCTAACAGGGGTGAGGTAGAATCTTAGTGTGGTTTTGATTTGCATTTCCTTTATGGCTAGAGATGGCGAGCATTTTTTCATGTGTTTTTTGGACATCTGAATTTCTTCTTTTGAGGAAGTTCTGTTTAGTTCAGTTGCCCATTTCTTTATTGGTCATACCAGGTGATTTCAAGCATTAAATTGATACTGCCTGAAAAAGCACTTCTAAATTACAAGCTTTTAACTCAGAAATGTAACCTTTTTACTTATATTCCAAAATGTTCCATTCTGTACAGTACAGTTCTCTCCATATCAACACTACTACCATTCTCTCAGCCACAAAAGACCTCTCTTAATATTAGGGAAGCAATCAAATTAAAGAGAATTAACAAGTCAGTGATAGTTAAGTATCACTTAAAACCACTAAGGAGGCAAAGATAGGAGAACTGCAGTTCAACCTCAGAATGGGCAAAAAGTTAGCAAGACCGTGTCTCAACAAACAAGATCAACATAGGAGCACATTCCTGTAATCCCACCACACAGGAGGCAGCAGTAGAAGGATTGTGGACAGAGGCCAGCCCAGGCAAAAGTATGAGACCCTATTTAATAAGGGAAAGAGAAAGGGAAGGAGAAAGGGAAGGGGAAAGGAAAGGGGAAAAAGAAGGGGAAGGGGAAAGGGAAAGGGAAGGAAAGGAAGGAGGGAGGGAAGGAGAGAGGAAGGAAGGGGCCCTGAGTTCAATCCCCAGTACTTTCAAAAAACAAACAAAACCAAAAGCAAAACAAACTCTTACATAAAGTCATTAAATATGCAAAAGTACTGAACTGCAGCCAAGGGTACTATTTTAGTATTTCACTGCTCCTTGCTACCATGGTGACTGGTGACTCCTGGTAACTCATACAATGCAGAAGATAATTCAATTCTCTTTCTCAACAATATTTCCCCAAAGTGCCTAAAATCTAGACCTTCCAACACCAACCTTTCTCAGTCCACCAAGTTTGCATGAGGGTTGACTACCACCTTACAAATCTAAAAAAAAAATGACAAAGGGTTTAACCACATTTTGCTCCTAGGTGTCTTACCTGGTTCCAAACTCACACCAGGAGCACATCACCTAGAGACACAGGTCTGCCTGTTGGCAGATGGTAGAAAGTGAAGAACTAGCCTTTTAACAAAGCAGGTATTAATTTATTATTGAACCACTGTTTAAACAGATTTCTAACATAGAACATTCAATTTCTTGTAACTTTAAAATACTGAAGAATGCTAGCTCTAGCATAATAACTTTTCAAAATTCAAGTATCCATACTTTACTCTTTAGAACTTTCAAAGAAATGTTGGTCCTGAAATTAAACAACAAAAACTTAAGTGTGTACTCTACCTGTTTTCAATGGGTCACTTAACACAAACCTGTATAGGTGGAATATCTGGCAACGACGGAAGGTTTTCTGGGTTAGTAACGGAGGGGATGAGCTCTATGGCTGTAACAGATGGACTGGTGGGGCCGCGGTTTGCATTCGCCATAGTTGCAGTAGTAGGACTCGTTGGGTTGACTGTGGGGTTGTGTACTGACCCAACAGGAAAGGGTCCAGCATGCCCTGGGTTTGAATGCTGTTAAGAAAGAAAGTCATTATTATCAAACCTGATCTGCAAGGTATCTGAGCTGTACCTTTATAATTTTTTAGTTTGGAAAGGATATTTAAGTATTTGATGCCTGTGGCTGAGAATCAAAGAAGTGGTCCTCTCAAACTTTTGCAAGAGAACAGTTCAAACTCAGCCTTTTTATCTTTCATTCATTCTTGTGTAGTATCTAGGGAAAAACATCCTCGCCAATAATTTTTCAACCTATTAGCCAAGTGATAAGATTTTACTTCAGAACAAGGATGACACAGAAACCTCCAAGTTTTCAAATAGAAGGCCAAAAAAGCCACTGTTCTATCTATATTACCCAGTGGACCCTTTAGTCTTTTTTTAATGAAATTAATTATAAAATAACTATATATAAGTACAAAATAAGTATACAAAATAAAAATATAGAATAACTATAAAATATAGTGGAAAGAACAATTAATTTATAGAAAAGAAATATGCCATGGATCCTTGGCTCTACTATTGTGTGACCTTAGTTAGACAAGTCATATAATCTCAGGAATTTATAAATATGGATAAATGATACCTCACCTATGGTATCATTCTTATCAACTAAAAATGCTTACATTCACTGATTTCTGTAGGGACAGCCCTAAAATCTATGGAAAATATTCTGAGATGGTTGGTTAGTCTGATTCTATAGCATCTGTACTCTTTAGTGTTCAAAGCATCTCATAATACTTGAAGCTTTACCAAGAAATGAGGAGCACATGGATATCTGAGTTAAGGAAGTTAATATCTAGATTCTCAACCATCACAAAGAGTATGTTAGGCTCTGCAGTGTGTTTTCTAACATGTCTTTGGCAACTGCCCTTCCCCACTTAACAAAGGAACAGTATACCCAGTCCTAATTTCACTGTAAGCACATTGCCCCATGATGGGGTGGAGGCACAGGGACATGTACAGATAACCAAAGTTATCTAGTGGTTAAAATAGGTTATAATAGTATTGGACAACAAAAGTGGAAAAAAACAGCTCTGAAACTTAGAAAACAAAGCTTCAAATGGGTTCTAATTTGTTTGTTTTGATCAGTACTGGGATTTGAACTCAGGGCCTTGCACTTGCTAAGCAGGTACTCTACCACTTGAGCTGCTCCACCAGTACTGTTTGCTTTAATTATTTTTCAGGTAGGGTCTTGCATTTTTTTGTCTAGGCCAGCCTGAACTGCAATCTTCATACTTATAGGTGCAGGCCACCATACCCTGTTATTTCCTTTGTATTTTTGAGATGGACTAACTTGTTGCCCAGGCTGGTCTCCTGACCTCTGCTTCCCAAATAGGTAGGATTACAGGCATGAGCCAAAAATGAAGATCTGATGAACCTATAATTAATAAAAATAATTTTTAAATATTTCTGGTAGATCATTGTGAGTTTTGGCTTCTAAATGTCCAAAGAACTGAGGAAAATTTCTGTAATAAAATGCTTTTAATTTCCAAATACGTATTTTAGAAACAAGTTTCTTGAGCATCACATCCAAACAAAAACTAAAAAAACCAATAATAAAAAAATCAATTAATTCTTACTCTCATGGTAAGTAGCAGCATATAAACATATACAATTGACAAAGATAAAAAAGGTTCAATCTGTCTCACATATATAATGCAAATAATTTTAAGTTTTCTGATAGTCTTAAACCATATATATTGTTTCCACAATTATGTTGAAAATATTAACAATTTGGTTCACAGAAAAAATGTTTAAAGCTTAATAGCTTCATTGTTATTGAAAATTTAACAAAGAACTTTTACTAAGATAAATACTTTTCTTGCAAAAAAATTACAACAGGCTAATTTATGTCTTTTGAACATAAAGTAAAATTCAAGTTCAAGAAGAATGTAAATTTTTGACTTCTGAAAGAGCTTGCTACGGTATTTGGGATTATAGTAGATTCATTTAAAAAAAGATATAAAGATTTTGCTTTATAATGTCAGTATTTACAATATGCTAGAAAGTATGGTTTTTTTTTGCAACTATTTATAAACTTCTGGAAATTTTAAATGAAAATCTTCAAATGTAGGGGAGTGGATATTTTCACACGTCTTTGCTGGTATAAATGCTGAAGAGCCACTACTTCAACATTCAGCATGCAGACTAACCTGAGAGGCTCAAGTGAAGGTTTACCAGGTACCCTCCTCCTGGAAATTCTGATTCAGTAGTTATGGCTCAGAATTTATTCTGACATGGACCGTTCCACCTCAAACCGATCAGTGATTCTGATGGCCTTTCAAAAATGTTTCTTGGTTTTTTATTTTTGAGACAGGATCTCACTATATAGGCAGGCTAGCCTTGAATTTATAATCTTCCTGCCTCCACCTCCTGGAGTGCTGGGATTACAGGTGTCAGGTGTCCATCACCACACCCAGTTCAAAACATGCATTGAGAAACACTAGTCTATGAGTTAAAAAAAAAAAATGAATTTTAAGGGTTAGGGGCCATGGTTTAAATGGTAGAGCACCTGCCTAGCAAGTGAGAAACCCTGAGTTCAAACCCTAGTACTATTCCCCAAACAAAAAAGAATTCTACTTTATAATTAAAATACTGTATAAAAGTTGCTTCATTTTATAATCATTATCTCCTATACAAAAAAAATCTACTATTCGGACAAAGATTATAAATTTGACTCTAAATATACTTTTTTCTGGTAGTGCTGGGGATTGAACTAGGGTTTTCTGTATGCTAGGTAAGCCCTCTACCACTGGCTACCCTCCCAGTACACTCATTTGTAAGATTAAGCATATCTACACTCTAGAAAAATAAAAATAAAAAATATATACACATAGCTAGCTGTATTACTTTTGTCAAAATGTCACTTTAAGTAGCCATGCACAGTGGCATGTTCCTATAATCTGAGCACGTGGGAGGCAGTAGAGAGAGGAGCATTTTGAGTGTGATTACAGCCTGGGCTACAAAGTGAGATCCTACCTCAAAAAAAAAAAAAAAAAAAAAAAAAAAAAACCAAATAAAACAAAGTTGCATTTAAAGAGCAGAGGATAAATATCAGAAAATTCAAGTATTAATTTGGACTTTATCATCTTTTGTGATTATAGATCAATCTTCCTTAGATTTAGTTTTTACTTCTGTGAATGTGCTGGATTATTTTAAAGGTTCTAAATCCAGTGTACGATGGGTTTAAAGGGATGAAGCTCTTAAAATTGAACACAAAACTTCATTTGCATGTGTATTTTTCTGGGATAGGACAACATCCAACACTAATCAAATTCTCAAACATATCAATAAGCTGATCCCAACAACTGATTGTGTAAAACAGAGTCTTTAGTTTAAAAATCATTGGATTCTTACAAATACAACTCTAGGCATACTTGTCTTTGGAGGTGTGGCTGCATCATGGAATACTGAGGGCCGCTGTGCCTGGGTATCCCTGGTATTCTGGCAGCATTCTGGGCCAGTCTCATTTGATGGGCTTGAAAAGCTCCACAGTTCATGTTGCCCCTTTGCATTGTTTGCACACTGATTAATCTTGGAGGCTATAAAAAGTAGAAATTGCAATTTATATAAAAATATTTTTATAAATGTATCTATTATAAAATATTACAGAAAAAACAATTTAGTAAGAACAGAAGGATCTAAAGTAAAAAGTTTTGGACTTGGGTCACATCACAAGGGGAGAACACGTACAGGAGGTACAGGGATAGGTGGAAAACCTAAAACATGAAAGCGTTTGATGCTCCCACTCAAGAGGAACTGATACAGAAACCTTAATGCAACAGAGGTCTACACGAGAAGGGGAACAGGGACTAGTGTAAAGATCACTTGGAGATGAATCAACTGGGATGTAATAAATTTGTACATGAAAGCAATGCTAGGAATCTCTCTGTATAGCTATCCTTAACTTAACCAGCAAAAACACTTTTGTCTTTCTTATTATTGCTTATGTCTTCTCTTCAACAAAATTAGAGATCAGGGCAGAACAGGTTCTGCCTGGAAGCGAGGGGGGTTGATGGGAGAGGGTGGGGGACAGTGGGGAAAAATGACCCAAACAATGTACACACATGTGAATAAATCATTAAAATTAATAATAAAGTAAAAAGTTTAAGTCATTATTCTCTTGTCTAGCTCTAATCCTCAGAGAACTGGTAATTACTGTAAAAAGTTTATGTATTTTGTGGAGAGCAGAGTAGGAGAAGCCTCTGAGGACATAAGCACAGTTGTACTCAATATTCTGCAGGCTGAATTCAGCACAGCCCCAGTCACAGAATAGGGTGAGAGTAAGATGCAGAGCAGCTGTTTTTCCTAAGATGTTTATGTCAAATAACCTATAGGCTGGGATTTGGCACAGCCCCAGCCACAGAAGAGAACTAGAAGGCAAGCTATAGCTCAGCTGCTTTTCCTAAGTTGTTTACTTTCAGGAAAGAAGTAGGGTTCAGAGGTAGAAGTAGGAATGCAGGTTTCTCCTGTTACAATGTCACCCTCCCTGAGAACTGTGCTCACCTCCTTATTTACCATTGGGTATAAAAGGAGGCGGCTAGGCTTTTGGATGGGGGAGGTTTTTGGATAGAGGGGGTTTTTTGGCTGAAGGGAAATTGCTGCAAGGAGGATTGCTGAAGGGAGGACTGCTGAAGGGAAAAGAACTGCTAAGGGGAATTGCTAAAGAGGGGTTGATATAATTGGTTGGCAGCATGTGAGGGAATGGTCACTGTTGATTGTCTGCAAGTCTGAGGGCCAAGACTTTAAGAAACCTAAACAGAGAACATGGGACAGTGCAAGTCTGCACCAAGAACTTTATACATAGGCTTTAGAAAAGCTAAGTTAAAGAAAAGCTAAAGAGAACATGGGACAGTGCAAGTCTGAGGGCAAAGACTATAAGAGAGATTATGCTAAAGAAAAGCTAAGAGAAAACATGGGACAGAATGAGGCTAAGGAAAGAGACTTTAAAGACTTTTAGAAGCAAGGTTTTAAAGAACTGTAAAGGAGTAAGGCCTTAAAGAATAAAGATACAGAAAAGAAACAGAGTAAAAAGAAGAGATTAATAGAGATAACAAGCAATGAGGCTGTTGTGCGTCTCCACCCAAGCACCTAACACACCTGGCCCCAACTTTTTGCATGTCTGTCTATCTATCCTTTGTCCTTTCTGCATCTCCTGTTGCCCCCAGTTAGGCCCAGTTAGGTTCAGTAGTAACAGGAGCGAGAGAAATCTTGCTCCAGTATCTCTCCAAAATTTCCCTCTTCTCTCAAATTCTATGTGTACATGTGTACATGTGTGTAAGCACATCGACGTTTGTTTGGGTGATGAAGGAGCAGAGTCTGGAGAGTCACAGAGTGGGAATGATTTTAACAAATGCTTAAAGAACATATCAGATCTTAAGCAGAAACAATCTGGTTCATGGGGCCATGATTATATGTGGAAAACAAAAAAATACCTGTAATAAAGGGATGAGAACTTCAGAACTTCCAGAGTTAGTGAGCCCATTTTGTTTCCCATGGTAAGTTATTAATTATTTACTACCTTTCTTCTTTATAGTTCCCCCACATCCCTATCACAACCAGAACAAATACTTCAAACTCTGACCTTTGAGCCCTATTTCTGCTAGTAAGTTTAAATGTATGACACGTCTACATAAAGTGTAGTCTTGAAATCTTAATAATTTCTCTTAATGATGCAGAGACACAATGCTCACCTGTTGTTGTAACAGCTGAGGGGTTGTTTGCCTAGGATGCTGTTGTGTGGTGGTTGTTGTCGTTGGTACAGGAGCTGGTGGTTGCTGCATCCTCATCTGTTGCAATTGCTGTTGTTTCTGTGCATATACTTGTTGTTGCATGTGCTGAAGACGAAGCTGTGCTAAATTAATCTGTCCAGGGGTTTTACTAATGTGGTTGGTTCCTGGAGGAACTTGCCCAACTACAACATTAGGAGTATAACCGGGAGCTGGTTTACTCTCTATTACTAGATTACCTGAGGATTTAAAAAAAATAACAACAGTAAGTACCTCAATGCATCTAATATCACAGCAGGGATAGGAATAGATTTGAAGATGATGATGAGAAGCCAAATATATTCTAAAGCCCCTCCCCTCAAAAGACTTTAGATTACATGTAACATATTATCTGCCTTTATTCTTTTAATTTATACAAATGTATAGGAAATTAAAGAGCAGAAAAAGATATTAGAGGACCATCTAGTCAGTATAAATCAATTCTTCCATGATAAGAGACTCAAGGTCACTCATGACTGCTAATACCAATTCCACCTGTCGTTGAATTGTCAAAGGGTAAAGGGTGGAAATATTAAATGATTTATGACTTTAGAAATGACCATTTTGCTTTGCTTTTTAGGGATACAGGGTAAATTTTAGAAGGTATGGTTTAAAACTAGAGGTTGGTGGGCCATGTAAGAGCTGTCACAAAAATAGTCTTTGAAATGTTGTAGGCACAGCCAACCAAAATGCTGCTCCTCTGTACACCTAGTTAGCACAGAGACTGACCAACAGCCTGAGACTGGACAAAACCTCAGATTATGCCATTTCTCAGGCATCCTATCTTAGGACCCCTCCCCTCCCAACTCTGGGGGCTCATTTCTCTCACTTTGGACTTTTCTATCTCAATAAACTCTCCTCCTTTACTTGCAATAATAGTAGCAATAATAATAGTAATAGTCTTACAATCTTTTGAGATGTAAAAAAATTCTTAGTTTTGCCACACAAAAATTGTTTGGTGATGCTGGATCTAATTTGTCAAATTGATGAATTTTGAATCTAATTTTTTCTTTTATCCAAAGGTTTTTTTTCTTCTTTAAAAAACAAAAGGCCATTATAATTCCAATTTTATAGTTCAATGTAAAGGACATGACTACTTTGAAAGTGAAATTACTTAATCTGAAGCGAGCTTTAATTTTGAGAAGTTTGTGTTATTTCACTTCAAGAGACGAGGTCTCATGTCTGGCCTGTTCTCAAGCAATCCTCCTGCCTCAGTTTCCTCAGTAGCTGTGAATACATGTACATCCCCACTGCACCTGGCTATTTTTCTGTATCTGTGTAATTTTCACCCATGGTCTTCAGGTCATAAGGTAGAATAAGAAAAGCAAAGTCCATTTCTCTACCATGTAAAAATATTGGCCTTTGTCTTTCTAAAGCTCCTCAGGACACTCATGCATCAGTTTTCTGAAGGTCCTCCTCTACCACACTATTGGCATATTAAACTAGTGAGCATTCAAAAAATATTCCAGAGAATAAAGAATCACTTACTAGTACTTCAATATGAAATAGTCAATATTAATTTTTAGAGATGTAGAGGGAAAAGATAGAAATAGTACACAGGAAAAAGCATGGCTGGGGGCGTGGCTCATGTGGTAGAGTAGCAGCTTAGCAAGTAAGAGGCCCTAAATTCAAACTCCAGTAATGGGAAAACAAAAAAAACCAATGAACCAACAACACCACTTTACAGGGACTGGCCTGCAGCTCAGTGGCAGAGAGTGTGCTCAGCATGCACAAGGCCCTGTGTACAATCGCCAGCACTGAAACCCAAAAGCACTGCACTGAATGAGTTCTACTGTTGTTGAGGATTAATGCCACGGCAATACAAAACCACAGATAAAGTGAGTTTCCAGTGACTATTTCTTCCAAGTTGTTCAGTTAAAATTTTAACCTCAACTCAGCTTTAGAAGTTCCCTTCTTTCAATTTGGCGTTCTAAGTCACATTCAGGAAGCAGTTTCTCACCTAAATTGACGACATTCTTTGCCCAGAAGGTGGGGTCACAGTGGAAGCGTATTGCTCCATTAGCAGCAGGGACAGGATCACACCGTGCTTTCAGGATATGACGTAACTGAAAAGTAATCTTAAAGGGAAAAATTCACATTAGTCTTAAAATTAAATCCCAACTGAGAAACATGTAAGACAGAGACATTTAAAAAGCTCATCAAGCCCCAGCACTTCAAGTCTTAGGTGAGACAGCGTCAACATTTAAATTGTCTATCAAATATAATGCACAACATTGAATTTTTGTCATTACTAAAAATAAATCGCATTAAAATACTAGGTATTTTCAAGAGTACATACTGTATTGATTTCATTAATATAAATTTCTAGAAAATGACAGAAATCAGATTAGTGGTTGCCTGGGGGATGATGGAAATTTTCTGTATCTTGAGGTAGGAGTTGTTACATTTATTAAAATTTAAATTTATACTTTAAACAGGTGTTTATATTTACACTGTAAACATTCACCAAATATAAATATCTTACTAAAGTCAATTAAAGAAAAATAAAGATCCAGGATGTCTCACCAGCCGCTTGCTATACAATAGCGCCGTGCTGCTGCCACTCGCAATCGCCCAGTTAGTAAAGTTCATAACATGCTTCACCTGCCTGGAGAGGCCTGTGATGTCATTCTGCTGCTGTAGTAGCTTCATCTGTCTTTCTTTTGTAACATTCTGTAACATATCAAAAACTTCAGTGAAGAATACTACACAAAAGTTATATGTACACAATATCTATGTTTCCTTTAAAATTGGCATAAATGGAGAAACTTGTGATTATTTAATAAGACTAGGATCACAGAAAAAGTCACTAACAAACTGGAACTAAAATATAACACTTTAAGCTGGAACATTCCACATATGAAAATCGTGTTAGTGGGTATCTTTTTTCTTTTATCAATAAAATGTCTATGCAAAAATAGTGTCTTCCTATTAGGTTAATCCAATGTATGTTATGGCATTATGAACTGACATTTAGAAATAATTTTGTATGATCTTAACTCACTATACTTCCTGGGCCAAATACTGTGTCACCAGTGACACCTACTGGTGTGGCTTGAGGCTAGAGTTAATTTTTTTCCCCCGAAATACATAAAACACAATGAAAAGATAAATTTTCACAAGTCCAGAATTAATGGAACTTTTGACACGATCAAGTTCATAAATTCAAAGGAGTGAAGGCTAACCCAATTTCAGGAAAATGCTACAAAGGAAAAATAAATGCTTACTGGAAAGTAAAACCTCCAGAAAGAATGGGTAATATCCTATGCACTTTAGCATTTGGCCTGCCAAACAACCTATCTACTTCTTTCTTAACCATTTTCTCCTCTAAAATTATTCAGCTTGATTCACTGGACAATACTTTTCTGAAGAAACAAGTTGTCCATTTTATAGTTTGAATCAATAAATAAAAGTATTCACCTAAAAGAATTTTGATTTATAACTTCTTCAGAAACTATTCCTTTAACAAAGCTTCTGAAAACCTTTTTGAAATTATCATTATGTTAGGAGCACATGGTGTATTTGTCATTAAGTACTTAAGAACTTCAGCCTTAAGAAGCATCTTTTAAAATGGTTCTACAAATATTATTTTAGTGATATAGCTAAAATATATTTACAAAAGTTAAAATATGTAAAAAAATAGTTACTGCTAAGTGTTCTTCATTTACTTGGTTCTTTTGAGGTTTAAAGCAATTGATAAGAAAGAGACATCCAACTTTAAAAACACATCAGAGTACTTTTAATCTTACAACTGTTTTTCAGTGCAAAGATGTATTTAAAAGACAGGAATTCAGAGATAACATACTGTTCATATAATTTCTTTCATTTGTACGTAATTATGTGTCTAGTATTTTAAAGGGTTTTATGAAGAAATAAAATAAAAAGATCTAAGGATAATTTGAGGTTCATGGAAGTTAAAATAGCCAAATACTCACACAGTTTAAATTATTACTACTCAATGGTGCAGAAAACATAGCCCCATAGCATCTGAGCCTACTTAAGAGCAGAAAATTTTCAAACAGGAAACATTTCTTTTTTCATTATTCAACTTCTCAGAAAATTCACATTTGAAATTTGCTGAGAACACATCAACTGTGGGCAGTAAAGATGGTGTTTGATTAAAAAATTAATTTGGATTTCACAAACTGACTAGATTCTGATCTAGAAATTTACATCTATATATTAATCTCAAAGTATGCAACACAAGGCTTAATACCATAGAATTATCAATAAATTTATAACTTATAAATCTCAAAATGGGCATCTTCTGGCAAACTAATTTTTTTAAGTTAGGTTACACGCACAAATGACTCAAGCACAAGTTCGACATGCATTTTTATAAAAAGTTAAATTGAGGCCCCTTGATAATGGGTAAGAACAGAAATGTAGTGGGCCTGTTTTGTCATCATGCACATCACACTTTAGTAACAACAACTCTTTCATTACTAAGAGGACATCACTAAGACCTAATGTATACAGCTAAATCCAATGATATTAAAGTGGGGTGCAAAAGCAACTAACTAGAAAAAAGGTCTCTTTCTCAAAAGAAAAAACCAACCAAACAAACAAAAACCTTTTTTTCCATATCCCCCAACCCAATTAAAAGAGCCTTCGATAAACATTAGCAAGAGAAGCAGTTGTTTTGGGTTTGAACCATACCTCTAGCTGCTGTAAAAGAGATTTTCCTTTCTTATTAATTTCATTGATAAGAGTGAAAATGGCCACTTTAATTTCCTGTTCTACTCGTTTGTTAGTCTCATTTACTTCTTTTATCCTGAATAAGAGAAATGCATCATTAGGTCATCAACTTAGCCTATGTGTCCGAGTTATCAACTGTTACAGAACTTCATCCAACTGGGTACTCAACCGAGTAAGCAAAGTAAAACTTTGTCAAAGTGTACAACTAACATTTCAGCAGACCATACCACTTAATTTGGTCCAAACGAGTTTAGAGAGACAAAGAATGAATTTAATATTCAGTAGTTTAAATTAAGCTCATACAGGCCACTTTATTAATCTGGAGATAATCTCCTTAAGTCACTATAACATGAATGTGATATACAAAAACCTAACACCAATGATTGCTGGTTAATGTCAAATGTGGCACATTGATTCTGCTTAATCTTAATGGTTTCTACAAACAACATGCAAAAGAACAATGTCATGACCAATAATTACCATCTTTTTGAAAGCACAGATATTAAACTTGGAAGCATTTATTTCCACTTACTTAACCACTTCAAATGTGGGTTCTTATACACTTGTTCCATAATTTCATGTCAAAATGGTTTCCTACTGTATATCGTAAAGGGCATAAAACATTTTCAATCCTCTTTTTTATTTCTGAGGGAGGGTTGCTGGAGATTGAACCCAAGGGCCTTTCAAATATTAAGCACATCCTCTACCACTGAGCAACAGCCTCAAAGACCCCAGTCCCTCAATCCATATTTAAGAATAGCTGCTAGATGCTTCAGCACCCATTACAGTTAAAGTATTGGCTTCAAAAATGAAATATCTGATACCTTCAGATTTATAAAATGGGAAAAAAAGAAATCCCAACAATCAAGTATAATAGGTACACCTTTCTGTACAAACTGGTTTACATTTGCCAAAGTCAGATTTAAGTAACTTTAACACACTCTGAGCAATGTTAATACAGTTTTCCCTCTTTTATCTGTATATCCATGCTTGCTTGTGCACTTGTTGGAAGATTTTATTGCATTGCCCTTATTTAATTAAAGTAAATGGAAGTTACTTAAAAAAATAAAGGTATTAATCACTAGTAATTAAAACATATGGGTCTCTAATGTAAAACAACTGACCAAAGATGGAAATCATTAAGCATCCTGCAATTAGACGCAAGTAGGTCTACTGTGTATTCAATTGTGATGGAGAAAAATGTACATTTAAAAAACAATGGAAGCCAGTCATAGTGGTACATGCCTACAACAGAAATGCTCAGGAGGCTGGGGGAGAAAGATCACAGTCTGAGGCCAGTCTAGGTTACACAATGAGACTCTGTCTCAAACACACACACCCACACACACACCCACTCCCCCCTCCACACACACAAGCCCACAAAAACAAAAATGGAGATAGGTAACTGAAGAATATGTCTCAAAGACGAGGGTATTAGAGATTTTAGTGTTTAAGTTTTCTGGAGATGAAATCATTAAGTCTCCCTCTGAAGCCTTATGATCTTATAAAAGATAAGTCTTTTGTTCTGTTTCTGTATATAAATTCAGAAACATATGTACAAGATGTACACAAAAATATCATATACAAAATATATATTTAAAACTATGGGCCTTTCACATAAATCAACGCATTTTTTCTGAAAGGGACATCTATCTCTAAGTTTTTCAAACCAACATCATTATCAGCAGTTAAATCTAAATATCCTGGTATCTCCCCAAATCAACCAGAATGAATAATGTGTGTAAAAATATTTATAATTTACAAGAGCCTTTTGCTTTCTTTTGGAATCACTTAATGTGGAAAGTTCTATCACATGCTAAGTAATATTTTCATTCATTTATTTAACTAATGTTCTTAAGCATCTATTATATACCATTTCAATCATCAAAAGTTTATGAATTTTAATATTCGAGAGAATTCCAATATTTGTACCTCTACACAATAACTAGAAACTCTATCATAATGTTAGGAATTCCCCTCTTTAATTATGCCAGCTCCAAGAGTTTGTATTTGCGGGGAAGAGTCCTAACTTTAAATTTGCTCTCACATACAACTTAGTCCCCCCCCCGCCCCCGTTCCTTATAAAAAATTTAGTTTATAAACAAATGTAACAAAATAGAATAATGTTTAAGAAATACTGATATTTGTTGTAATGATGAAACCAATAGCAGCTAAACTCTGAGTGGTTTATTTCATGCCAAAAACTATGAGGTATGCAGTTAAAATGTTACTACTATTTAAGATAATTACTGTTTTTTCTTTTCTTTTTTTTTGTTGGCAGCACTGGGGTTTGAACTCAGAGCCTCATACTTGCTAGGCAGGCGCTCTATCACTTGAGCTACACCACAGCCCTTTTTTATGTTGGGTGTTTTTGAGATAGGGTCTCACAAATTATTTGCTAGGGCTGGCCTCAAAACACAATCCTTCTGATCTCTGCCTCCCAAGTAGCTAGGATTACAAGCGTGAACCACCAAGCACTTGGCTAGTACGGTTTTTAATGCTTGTTCTAGAGATAGGGAAATAAATTTGTTCACTATTCTTTTTTAAATTTTTTTGGCAGTACTGGGGTCTGAACTCAAGGTCTCATGCTTGCTAGGTAGGAGCTGTACCACTTGAGCTGCTCTGCCAGCCCTGTGTCTACAATTCTTGATACCCTTTCCTTTAAATGTATTTTCCACACACTCTCTACTTAGCTTTCTCTGTATTAACTTCTTTTTCCAAGTTTAAAACTTAAAACAGATTGGAATCTTATTATAAAACAAAAGATGTATCCTAAAAGAGTAAAAAACTTTGGCCAATTAAATTTTGCTTAACAAATATTATAATCTGTAACTAAAATTACATATTTTTCCTATTAAATTTATGTTTTGTATATATGCTTAATATAGCAGGACAAATTGAAACTGGACTCAGTCCTCTTTGATAATCTTTAATATGAAATTATGGTTTAAAGGCAAGAGACTTACCTATTCTGCACCTGAGTAGCTGCAAAATGAACATAATTCTTCTTCTCAAGAAGCTTAGCCAATAGATTTTCAATTGCACCTTTCTGATTTTGAAAAGCTTCTTCCAAAAACTGATACCTTAAAATCAAAAACAAAAACAAACTACATTTAAAACAGAAAATTTACAACTAAGATTCAGGAAATGAAGAAGAGTTATGTGAGTCAATCTTGAAACCACACTTGAATCATCAACTCTGTTACTTACTTAGAAATTACCTCAGTGGCAACTTTTAACTAGCAATCCCCACCCTTCTGATCCTGAGAAGCCCTTATGAAAGGGGGGAGGGAAAAAAAAAAAACCTGCACAAAAATGTTTGCATACTCTTACATTAGTTTATTTTGGCAGCACTGGGGTTTGAACTCAGGGCCTCATGCTTGCTAAGCTGGCGCTTTTATCACTTGAGGCACTTCACCAGTGCTACAATTTTGATTCAGGATCGCATTTTTTAAACAATCCAAATATTAGAGTAAGTTATATCAGTTTTAAATCATAAAATACAACTATACTATGTAACATACTATCAAAGGATGGAAAATCACCCACAGTTACAACATCACAAAAATCACTGCTACCTATGTAATATTTAGTTGGTCTTTTAATTATGCTTATTTCTTATTTATTTGCTATGGGAATCAAACCCATATGCTAGGCAAATACTCTACCACTGAGCTACACCCCCAATCCTAATTAAGCATATTTAATGCAAGTGTAATCATAATATACATGCAGTGCATGTGTGTGTGTGTGTGTATATATATATATATAATGCATCTGACTTTTGTTATCTTGCCATATATTACCAAACTATCCTAAAGAGTTTTGTCAATCAAAGATATCATCAACACGTTTTACTATGTCAACATGAATGTCACATGCTAAAATTTTCTAATTACAGTGCTGAAAATTTAGACTTAATTAAAGTCTACAGTCCTTCGTTACCAGGAAACTAGAATATAATTGCTTTAATTTTACATCCTTTTCATGAATTATTCGTTAGATCAACAAATTGAGTTTCTTCTGTATGTTTTCTACATGAATAAAACCCTTATGACACAATCTAGTAACAAATAGGCACAAATATGCAGACAGCACACTGTGACAAGAGATGTATTTGAAGTTATACATAATAATCTGCAACGAAAACCTAATGCCTAAATTGGCCTCAATATCGAGGGAAACCGGAAAAATCAGAACAGTATTCTGTTAAGTTCAGAAGCACATTTAGTGTTCTTTGGTCAAACAAAAATATACAAAGGTCAGAATATGAGATAAAAAACTCCATTTTATTCTCTTAATGTTGAAGAAGTCTAAACAGAATGTGAACATCAGATTTACATTTGAGGAAAGTTACCAGACAGAAAAACACCTGAAAAAAGAAGGCAGATGGGGAAGACTAGTTAGAATCATAAGGCAAGTACTCAGACAAGAGACTGGGGTATGTTTCTGGTTGGTAGAGCCAAAAAGACAAGCTGAAATAGCTGATTTTGTCAGGAAGATCAGAAGCTTTGGTAATCTGGGAGGTTGTCAATTCTGGCACAGTTCATAATAGAACCTGAAAATTGAATGCCTAGCTAAAGCATTCAAAAGCTCAAAAAAAAAAAAAAAAAGTTCCTGGGAATTAGAAGTCTCCATATAGACACTAAAATCACAAAAGGCAGGAATTAAGATGAAAACTGTGAGCATACAGATGTCTATGTCTTTACTAAGGGTCTCAGCTAAGGTAAAACAGGAAATACTATGAAATTAACACAAAGGAAAGTTTGTTAACAGAAATGGAAAAATTTGTTTATTGGTGGGATTCAGAAGGTAAAGGAAGAATGGAACGCAGTGGGAGGGAAAGGGTAAACAATATGGGACTCGTATTATATAAAATAGTTGATGAGTGAGGTTTTTATTTTGTGCTAAGAAATTTTTATTGTGCTAAAATTTACCAGCTTACCCATTGTTAAGGAAAATATTTCTTAAAGAAAACTGTCTATAAAGTCAAATACATTAAAACTTGTGTAGTTATTAATAGTACCAAACGTGAGCTTTTCAGTTTAAGCAGGATGCAGTGATGTGCACTTGTTGTCTCAACTACTCAGGAGGCAGAGGTGGAGCTGTGATGTGCACTTGTTGTCTCAACTACTCAGGAGGCAGAGGTGGAGCTTCACTTGAGTACCAGAGTTTAAGAACAACCTGAGAAGCACAGCAAGGACTAATCTTTAAAAAAAAAAAAATGAAAGGCCAGGTGTACCAGCCCACTGCCTATTCCTGCACAGGGGAGGCAAAAGCAGGATTTCAAGTTCAGGGCCAGCCTGGGTTCATAGAGAGACCCTGTTTCAAAACAGCCAAAGAAAAATAACAACAACAACAAAACCTTTTAAAGCAGTTCTACTGTTGGACAGTGAATCCAAATATTGTGCCTTCACTGAACAGCAACATTTGATTTATTCTATGTACTGTGATTTCTTTATATCCAATAAAACTTTTTCTATGTTAAATCTGTATAAAATAAGAGAATTCTATGCTAACACTTTTGATTTAATGAGCTTTCGACAGTGAGGAAGAAAAGATCTTTTAGAAGTAGGTAAGGTTTGTTTATTTTGGCAAGTAGAAAAGCATTTGGTAGAAAGGTCAATTAGTATCAAAATTCACAGAACCTAATGCATAAATTTGAACCTTGTACAAATTTCTCTTTATCTAAATATAAATACTTTAGAAACCTATTTCTTAAAATATCTTGTTGCATTAATGTGAACAAAAAGTAAGCATCCTATTTTCCTAAGTATGTATAATGAGCTGAAAATATATATCCTTTCCTCTTCTTATATAGGGATTGATACTTCAGCTGGATGTTAACAAACGAGTAAGAGCTTTCTGGGGAAAAACTTGGGAGGAAGAAAAGTGCTTTTACTTAAAAACAACTAAAAGTACAAAAGTACAGAGTTTTGAAGCCATCTTTCATTTTAAGCATAAAGCAGAGGACAAAGCCAGAAGTGTAGAAAAGCATAAGACACAAAGCGCCCCGTATTTCACTAAAGCTGGGCTCAGATAAAAAGTAATGGTAACCATCAAGGGGTTGGTTGATCAGATTTGTCTCTGTTCACTTGAATACATTTCAACTGTATGACTACCAAAAAAGTACTAACAGGAGCTTGAAAAGTAAAAAGGCAATATAAAAGTTTTAACTACACACTGATAGCTTGCAGAAAAACTTAACCAATTTTCTTTTTTTAGCTAATCAAAATTATTGTTGAAGTACTCCAGAAATGGGAGAAAAGAACCAATAAAAGGATTAAGTCTAATCTTGATCAACATGTAAATACTTGAAAGTAACTTCTTAGATTTTAACCTTGCATTATGAAGTAGTGGTTCTTAATGTGTACTTCTTAAGTCACAATGAGCTATTTTCAGTATTTCAAAATGTCTATGTAAAGAAAAAGTGTACATAAAATTATGTATGTCCAGGATTTAGTTTAGGCCAATCTATGTAAAACTTTCTGTGCTCTAGACTAGAACTACAGAAACTCAGTGTGACAAATATATCACAGATCAAGACGGGCACAGTGGCTCCAGCCTATAATCCTAACTACTTAGGGGGCTGAGATCAGAAGGACGGTGGTTCGAGATCGGCCTTGGCAAATGTTCAAAACTCTCCCATCTCAACCAATAGCTGTGTGCAGTGATAGCATAAAATAGGATTGTGGTTCAGGCTGGCCTGAACAAAAAGCAAGACCCTATCTCAAAAATAAGCAGGTCAAAAAAAAGGCTGGAGGCATGGATCAAATGGTAGCGACCTATTTAGCAAGCACAAAGCAAACCCCAGAATCAATCAATCAATAAATAGATAGATAAGTGATAGTGTGTGTGAATGTATACATACAAGCATACATATATTTTGGTGAGAATCAATCAGTATGATTTTATGTTTTTATTGTTGAGAAATACTTTTTAATGCAATTTGCTAAGAAATATTTCAAAATATGGTGCTCATGAGTAAAGGTTAAGAAATGAGTAACATAAGGGCTTCTTAAAAGGTTGACAATTACTTGGCTGTCACAGGTCATATTAAATCCTAAACTCTATTATTCAACTTGCCAAGCGAGTACAGTACTAGTCTTAGTGTCAGCCACTGTGTATTAATGATTTTAGATGGAGCAGGTTGGAAAACACATTATCAATGTTTGTACCCAAACTGAATATCCAGGGAAACGTTTTTGAAAAAAATAAAACTAGCTCAGTTTCAATTTTCTTTGGTGAATCCGTTTACTACATAAAATTTCAAACATATATGCAAGATTCAATTCCACTAAATCTATCATCTACTTTCAAAAATTACCTATTTATAGCCAATTTTATGTATGCATTCAGCATCCCCATCTCATAGATCACTCTGAAGAAACTCATAAACATCACAATTTAAGCCTCTCTTAGCCTGTACAGATAGCAATACCTAGCCCATTCTACGAATTTACTAACTCTTTGGGCACAGTGGTTAAGTATTTTACGTGGATTCTGTCACTGAATTTCATCTCCACACTGCTGGGCATCCAATCCACAACCTTGTGTAAGTTAGGTAAGCACTCTACTGGTGAGTTTGTCGCAGACCTTCACTAAATATTCAGGAAAACTTAATGACATAGATACATCTTCACAGTCACTAGGTGGACAACTTAAGACAATTCTATGTCTTAGTCCTTCAGTAATATTTGGAATAATTATATTTACGTAACAGAACTTCTAAGAATTAAACCCACAAAGCACATATGACAATAATAAGTGTTTAAGGACTGCCATCATTGTTAATCTTTGCAGTAATTTTGAAGGCTTTTTTACAGTGTTACAATATAAAATCTCAAAATCATCCACAACTTAAAAGAAAAAAGCCCACTCTGCACACAAAACCTCATGAGAATGTGTTTTGAGGCATTTAAAAAAAGAAGCAATGGTGCTTATTTACGTCTACATAAGGAGTCCAAGTGGAGCCAGTCAGCTGAATGGTTGTGTCTAGGAAACCACCAGCATTTGCAGCATGGCTGACCAACTGACAGAAGAACAGATCAGAGAATTCAAAAATGCTTTTTCACTATTTGAC